TGTCACATATTTAACTATGTAAATAGGTATGCCAACAAAATAGAGCTACCATGGGCTACCCTGAAGAAGTACACCTGTTCAATGCAGTTGAGAGTACTCACTCTTTCAGGGCTTATCAAATCACCATTTTGTTGGGCCTGGAAAAGTATCTACTCCGGAACCATGCCGAACTGACCTTCAAGTCAGCAATTCGCAAAGAACTACGTCCCTTTCCAGCATTTCCAGAGAAATCCGCAGAGGTTTCCGAAAAAAAAAGGGAGCAAAAAAAAAACACCAAATCATCCAGTCGTAGTTCGGATGAGTATCTTAGTATTTTTCAACCCATGGTACCCTCTGGTAAACTAACATAACTATGGAAAATCACCATTTTTCATGGGACAACTCACTATTTCTATGGCCATTTTCAATAGCTTTTTGTATGTTTACCAGGGGGTAACCACCATTAACCATATAGTTGGACATTAACCAACTATCTAACCACGATTAACCACCATTAGCCACTGGTAACGACTGGGGAATTCCCCAATGACTTGAGCAACACGGCACGGCCTTCATCTCCACATTGGCAAAGTCCTGTGTAGAGACGCCCGCCTGAGCGCCCAGCGGTTGAATCCCCAGGTGTTTTCTCGGGATCTCCCAAGGGGGAGAACCTTCACCAGTTTCAACCAGGTCACAGTTATGGTCATTTATCAGTTATAAGTACTAACAAAACCCCATTTATAGAATGTATAATCCCATTTATAACCAGTTATAACTGATAAATGGCCATAACTGTAAGATATCATCTCTAACCAGGAGTTGTGGTATTTTGAAAGAGCTTTCATATCCTGAAAAATGAGAAACATATTGTTTGCACGAGGGAGTCAAAAAAAAGTGATAGATAGCATATAAATTACCAATACAGAGCAGGAAAATACAGGACACACACACAAAAAATACAACAACTCAACAGCACCTTGTAAAACATACATAAACCAAATGAACATGCAAAATACAATAAGATCAACAAGTACTCTGATGCATCCGCTGGGTCTCCTTTAACATATAGTTTGTCCAAACATGTGACACCCCATCACACCCCTAAAGTTTAGGCCCTAAAGCCAAATGGTTCAAACCAAATGTTCCCAATCAAAACGGCCACGCGTAGCTGGAAATCATTACTATTTACTTAAGCCCATGTACTGTACCTTATTTTAAATATGTTAGTGTGGTTACCTCTGGTAGTCCACCATCGCAATGGACAATTCCCCAGCTGTATGTTGCTGTGGCGCAAGCGCCCGCGGCTCATCGATTCCCAGTCCAACAGCAGCCTCCTTCGCCAAGAGCGCAAGCTCCCGCAGTTGCACATAAGCCTGGCAGGTCCATGGGAAATCCACAAACCGGATGGAGGTTGCTGGGAAAATCATCTACCATCTGGCTATTTAACATAGCCATGGAAAATCATCATTTTTAATAGGTAAACCATCTATAAATGGACCATTTCCCATGGCTATGTTAAATAATCAGAGGGTATAAACGATGGAATTTTCAGATCTATGTAACGGTTTACTGGAGACTCATCTGGCTAAATCTGTACTAGTTACCACTTCATCAGCCTGAAACAGTCCAGTGACGTCGGAGTGAGGTTTTTCCATTTCATAATGTCCAGAATCAACAAGTCATAAAAAGTCCAGAAAATCTTTAGCCCAGGCCTTCCAAAGACACACATTATTTTAACTTTGTCATCCATCATCCCAAAGTTCACAGCAAGGTCTGGGTAGAATATGTTCACAAGAGTACGTTCACAATCATTCATCAAAACGACAAATCTGGTCATTGTGGACCATCCTCCCACCTCTATGGTTTTTCAAATCGAGCCAAATATATGGCATATTAATCGGCTTAGGGTTCATTGAAGCAACACAAAACTGAATGGTCACGTTAGGCATATAGGGTTGATTTAATCGTTTGGTGTATTGCTTTGAATTTGCCTGGCCAGTGAAGATTCACTGTTCTGTGATATGTCCAGCAACAATGCGGGGCAACGCAGTCTGGGACCCAGAGACAGCAGGAAAATGCAGGAAACCTTGATATTTGGAGGTCAAAACCATGGTTTCCTCAGTTTCCTCTAGATTTTCTCTAAATCCAATGCAATAAATCATAGCATTCGTTTTTGTTGGCGGTTCGAAATAGTGTCGATATGATTCGATTGCCCAGTTTTGGTGTTCATCGACTCAACTGATGGCCCATGTTGAATCCGCCTCCATGCCCCAAAACTCATGCGGCTAGGCTATGACACCCCCAAGCCTGTTGATATGTGTTTTTTCATAGCAACACATGAACAAATTCTTGAGGTCAGTGGGTCCTGAAAATTCCCACCAAACACCTCAACCATAGTGGAAGCAGGATGTTGCACCTTTTCACTATGATATACCTATTAGTTGTGAAGAATGAAGGAATGGAGGGATGTTCCTCAACCCAAACAGCGGGGTAAGTCATGGCAATATATACATTATATGCTCATATAGTATATATATATATATATATGTGTATTGTTTATTGTTCTTTTTATGGTAAACAGCTTGCCCATGATTGAGAAAGTACCTGACATGTGTAGCTTTCACACATGACAGTCACGCACCCCTTTCGCACCTTCACAGGACCACCAGACCCGAAGGATGGCAGAATGTAGAGGTCTGCTGCCTGAACATCTTCAGAAATTAACAGAGGCAGCGGAACAATAGTCAATCTTCAAAACATATGTCTGTGTGTGATCATTTATGATATATACATGGCTTTTATCATAAAACATGTTCGCCCCAAGCCGGACGTTGCTCCACACTCCCAATCGTCATGATGATCATCATGATGATGATGATGATGACGGCGATGATGACGATGATGACGACGATGATGATGACGATGACGATGACTCTCTGAAGAATATGTTGGTTGGGGTAATAACATCAACTTTATCTTCATAAGGGATCAACATTTGCCAACATCTATGAGCCACATGTTGATTGGGGTGATAGCATCAACTTTATCTTCATATCCACCTGAAGTCAGACGCCAAACCTGACGTTGCGCCGCGTCTGACTTCAGGTAGATATGAAGATAAAGTTGATGTTATTACCCCAATGTTCACAGAAATATGCCCGTAGCTCTTCTGTTTCCTTTTTAGTCTTATTCTTATACAGTGTAATAATAGTAAATTATAATAATACAATCATTGCTGAATTGTTGTTCTTGATGATCATCACAATAAGAACATCAAATCATGACTTCTATAGTAATACTATGATCATCACGATAAGAACACACATATTATAACATAGTATAACCGATAACCTACCAATAGTATCATCTCCATCACCATCGTCATGATCGTCGTCATCGCCGCGCCTGCATCATTTCCTGCACTCGCACCAGCGCCTTCAGCGCTTCCACCAAGCCCACGGCCGGGTTGCCCTGCGGACGTTTACCGCGGCCGTTGTTTGGGGGTCGGTCGTGGGGGGCCAGAAAACTTGGAACAAAGAAACTATCTGAAAAATGGAGGGTGATATTAGTATGGAAACCCTCAATTGATGGCAATTTTTTGGGTGAAAAATGAATGAATGTGAGGAGTAAGCATCGATTTTTTGCGGTACCACATACTATGTTCAGACAATGCCTGGTACTAAGCAATGCTGAAACATTTGTTTATAACAGTTTAACATATATACAATCCATTTATATATATATATCCATTTTTCCCTTCTTTCCAATCTTAACGCACTGTAAAGCCATTGGTTTGGTATTGGAATGTCTTGGGTATGTTCATTTTAGGCGCCCGAATGGGATGGTATTTAACACACATACCTTGTAGAGTGTAGCCAGTTTTCCTAGACATTCAAATTCATTGCCGAAATTGGGCATGCCCCACAGTTATGGTCATTGATCAGTAATAAGTACTAACAAGTCACCCCATTTATAGAATGTATAATCCCATAGGAATAACCAGCTATAACTGGTAGCCATGGCCATAACTGCATAGAATTTGCAGCGTCATGAAATTTTAAAATTTGCTGATGGGGCAATGACGGGACCCTCCCCGCTGCATTTTGGAACATGGCCTGCGCATTCTTCAGCAGCTCAGGAGCATCGCAAAGCACATAGCCTGCGGAGCCAAGAACGGTTCGTTTGGGTTCATAGTCCCTGCTGGCAAAGACACATGTTCTTGGCAGATATAATACACAAAGAAATTCAGTTGTGAAGTTGTTGATTTGTAGATATTCCCTACTCTTGGCAACCAATACATTTTTGAAACAAAACAAACTGAGGGAACCAGGGTTAACCCATTATGGGGATCTCATGCAGTTTCCCAGTGAAACAAATCACTGACTCCAGGGGCGTAGCACAGCATTGAATTTTGTCTCATTCGAATGGAGTTGTTTGAACATGTGGCGGCACAAACTGACTTCTATGATTTGACATCATTTTATATGCGTGTCGTCATCAAACATATAGAAAAGATGCCAGTTTGGGGTATAACATGGTATAAAACTCTCGGCCAAACCTATCTGTCACCTGACTTTTTAGGTCGCTGAACTACAACATTTGTCGTCAACTGTACTTTGCAGCTGAGAAACTCTGGGAAAATCCATCGAAAATCATTGGTGGGTGGTTTTAAGAGCATCCCGAAGGTATGGTTGGTAGGACACTGGGGTCGGCATCCAGAAACTCGTCCGGCAGCACTATGTCACTATGGAAAGCAGTGATGGATTTGGGATTACTACGTATTTGTTAGGATTATAATTCCTCAGTTCATTTGCATAATATCGTTCTACGAAATACAGTATTCACTGAAAAAAACAAAGTGAATTAGCATGATCTTCCCAAAATAAAGATTTTGACTTAAACCACCTGCTACCAAACGGTACAATGTGGGTCCCCCCACTTGTAAGTTGGTTTATAAATTATAAACCCCATTACCTATAATAATTATAAGTATAATAAACCATTAGTTATTGGAGTTATTTGCACCAACTTAGCTATCGTTTGGGGGCCCCACATTGTATCTAATGTTGACAAGCATTTGTACAGTGTGTCCCCTTGGGAACACTTCCAGGCAAGCTCAGCTCTCAGCACTCAGTGCTAGAGTTCCTGCGTTTTTTGGTTTAGAAGCCATTGCCTCAAGTGTCCAGCTGACGGATTCACGGAAAATGAGGGTTTTCTCACCAGCAATAATGGCTAATAATGGCGAAGAATGGTGATTAATGGTTGATAATGGTGATTAATTAATTTGGTTGGTGGCTTTAACCATCTTCAAAAAAATATGAGTTCGTCAATGGGAAGGATTATCCCATATATTATGGAAAATAAAATGCTTGTAACCACCAACCAGTAATGGTACATCAATGATTAATGATTGTGACGAATGGAAGTGCCCTCTGGAAATCAAACGTGGCGAGTTCTGGGAAATCCGAAGGAAGTGATGGGAAAGTCACAAAAATGTGGGATTTTCCAGCCATGGAACTGATGACCAAAGGGTACACCGATACACCCTGGAAACCAAAAAAAATGGAACCCAACAAAAAGGGATCTAGAAGATGATACAATGATACCGCTGTACAACCTACAAAAACCCTGGTATAATTCGGTTTAAGTATCGTATACCAATCACGAATGGATGTTATATCCCATCAGCATACACGATTAATTCCTCAACATGGGCCCAAAAAATGATTACCATCTGGTTATTTAACATAGCCATGGAAAATGGCCCATTTATAGATGGTTTACCTATAAAAAATGGTGATTTTCCATGGCTATGTTAGTCATAACCAGAGGGTAGATGCAGGTCATTTCAGCAACGTTTCGACTGAGTAGTTAATATCAGGGGGGGATGAGACAGTTTCGGAGATGTTGTGACGACACACGTTTGGCAAAAAAAGGTTGTAGCTATGTTACTTTTCAGGGCGGGAAAAGCAAGGATTCGGTCAGAGGTTGCCAGTAGGAAGTTGCAGATTTCTGTGAACCAGGTTCAAAATTCAGCTGATTTTGGTACCAAGGTGGACACATCAGCAAAACAGCTGTGATTGGGCATGTCTAGTCATATTTATATATCTACAAAAAATGTTGTTGTTTTAGGACACATGCGGATGGATCAAAACATGTCAAACCCCTGGACGATGTGTGAACGTCAAAATAGCTCGGATTTATATTATATATATATATGGATTGATAGGAATTGATCCTCAGCTATAGAGTAACCTCAAGCCAAGGCCAACTCCATTCACTGCTCAGCGCTTGAGTAGCCCAAAAAACATGATCGTCCTCTTAAAGACATCTCAACCAATCATCCCTTGTGTATCGAAACACATCCAATACATATATGATATCTACAAAATAAAATTACTTTACTTCGTGTGATCCGCACCATGACATTTATACATTTTGTTACTGGCAAATCTTCTGGCATTCTATCTGACATATCTTCTGGCATTCTATCTGGCACTCTATCTGGCATATCTTCTAGCATTCTATCTGGCATATCTTCTGGCATATTATCTACTCAAATCTTCTGGCATTCTATCTGGCAAACATTCTGGCACTTTATCTGGCATTCTATCTGACATTTTATCTGGCATTCTATCTGGCATACCTTCTGGCATATCTTCTGGCATTCTATCTGGCATTTTATCTGGCATTCTATCTGGCATACCTTCTGGCATTCTATCTGGCATATCTTCTAACATTCTATCTGGCATACCTTCTGGCATATCTTCTAAGATTCTATCTGGCATATGCACACTGAGCTGGGAAGGTCCGTCCAGCAGTGCACACTGAGCTGGGAAGGTCCCAGGTTGAGGTCCAGCCGTGCACACTGAGCTGGGCAAGTCCCAGGTTGAGGCCCAGCGGTGCCCACTGAGCTGGGAAGGTCCCAGGTTGAGGTCCAGCGGTGCCCACTGAGCTGGGAAGGTCCCAGGTTGAGGTCCAGCGGTGCACACTGAGCTCGGACGTTGGCGAAGAGCTTGGCAACAGTGGACGTGGAAGTGGAGGCAGAGGTGGTGGAGGAGATGCTGGCGGAGGAGGAGCAGGAGGAGCAGGAGGAGCAGGAGGAGCAGGAGGAGCAGGAGGAGGATAGCTAGCCGAGGAGGAGGAGGAGAACAACTGTGATAAAATCTAACAACCCTCACCTGGCAGGTGGGGAACAAAAACAAAACGGTGTATTTCTGCAACCTAAAACCGTACATAACATTTTTTTACCATAATAACCGTTACTCACTCACCATCATTCACCACTCTTCACCATCATTTTTTGCATCATTCATCACCTAGCAAGGCATCTCAAGGCCCAGCGGCTCAATCTTTCTTTGGATCGAGCTTTTCGATCTCCGAAGCCTGACTGCCCGGGGCTGCCCTTTTTTGGGCCGCTTGTCTCGCGATTTCGCTGGTGATTTTTCGGGAAAAGCGTCAGACTTTGGGGCTGCCCGGGGCTGCCAAAGCATGACAAAGCCATATATTTCACCAACGAAAAGTAAGGGAAGAACATTAAAGGTAAAATTTCACCATTCTTTGCTCATCTTGTGGCAAAGATTTACCAATAGCTGGGAGCAAACCTGGAAATGAGGGGATAACACCAATTATCACATGGATACCCTGGGATATACTGGGGTGACATATATATAAGAGAGATATACATACATACATTACATTACATTATATTGCATTACATTGCATTACATTACATTACATACATACATACATATATATACACATGTATATATATATATATTATGTGTGACATTTTAATATGATTGCGGGTCTGGGTGTCTGAGCATGGTGAATTTAGCCCAGAAATTAATGGTCATTGGTGGGAAACATAACTATCAGTAACCAATGGATGGAATGGGGTACCCAATTTTTACGACAAATCCAATGGGATGTGGAAAAAACAAAGCAGGAACACCGTTTCACTCATGACGCAGGGTCCTTGAAACTATTTCCTAATGTTTTTTGTTTTTGTATTGCAATCTTCGATCATTTCTCTTTGGAGAACCTCATCATGCAGAATGTTTACCACCAGGCATTCGAAGGTTGATCCCCAAGACCAATCGGCTGGGTACCACAAGGATCAATCAACATAATCAGAAACATAAACATCATAAGGTTGTACAAGGTTGCTGCCCCCGAGTTATTTCAAGTTGGCTTATATAGGCCCCAGTAAGTATAGATAGATCTTCCACAAAGCCTATTGATAAACTAACATTGGCTAACTATGGGGCACCACCAAGCATGATTAAAACCCAGTTAATCTATATTGATCAACTACCCTCTGCTAAACGTGCACATAGATGTGGAAAACATATGGAAAACCCATGGACCCATGGTTTCTCCAGGAACTTCGTCGACAAAATCCAAGGATCGCTTCGGGCATGGAATCCCACTCGGCTTGCATCCATTCCTCGGGACAGCCCTGCCTATTGATGCGACGGACGCTTCACCAACGAATCTGGGCATTCTACCGGGTCAATCTATTCAAATGGTTGGTTTCTGTGCATCTTCGCTATTCCGAACACGGATGCAGGGAGTCAACTCAACTGACTCTGCTATTCAAGATTCCTTTTGCCTTGGGGGTCTGACATTTCCCACAAATCCAATCAAATCATATCAAATCCATACAAACAACTTCAGCTTTTGACTTTCAGAGCTGATGTTCCTGGCAGTGCAACTGGTAACTTGAAATATACCTTGGCCATCCTTGACTTTCATGTTGCCAACTGGACAACAAGTATGTTGTCCTGGAAATGTTGGGGAACATGGTGGTAAAATGATGGGAAAATGGTGGCAACATGATGGGAAAATGATGCGCTAAGCCTGTATTCCAAGCTCCCAAGTGGACCAAGGCTTGGTCGAGTTTCACAATGGGATGCTCCCTTCACAAAAATGGTGTCAATGTTGTGGTTTGGAGGTACCTTAGACAGCGGCTTGGGATACTTCGCCTCTCTGGAAGGCTCAAAAAAACACACACAGAGAATCAACCACATTTTGTCACAAGTCCTTTCTCAGGATAAACACATTTGACATCAAACAATTTAAGTCAAAACAAATCACCAGTGCTGTTAGGCACGTTGAGGGGGATGCTGGATCATCATCATCATCATCATCTTCTTCTTCTTCTCCTCACGGCAAATCTTTACACCTTGCAAAACAATAAATCCCCATGTAAGGCAACAACAAAAATAAATGTATTATGTTGTATTATGTTGTATTAAACTGCCTTGCACCGAAGCTTGATCATCCATAATTTGTGGTTGATTGTTGTGTATAAATCTGCTTAGAATAATCTATAACAATACACAATGGTTCATAATTGCTGATGGTCTATTTAATCCCCATTGTGGATGTTAATTCCTCATCTATATCCCATACTAACCACATTATATTCCATAAACCTTTTGGATCCCACATTCCTGCACCCGAAACGTTAGCTAAGCGGTTTACACCTTTAGAGCAGATGTTGGGTTTATGGCGATGAAATCACTATAGCTAGATGTTTTTTTTTTAATGGGGAGACACCACCTCGTGTTTGTTCGCTTGTTCTGAGTCTGAAAATCACAATTGTTGTTGGTGAAATCTGGTGAAGTCTCATTAAATAGTACTGAATCTCGTGGTGTTCATGCTTAGATCACATGGTTGTGGGTCAAACGCCTCGTACCAAAACGGTACCCTAAGTCCTAGTTGGTATAGGCGGATGGTTGTTCCCCAAGTCATATGGTAATTTCATAGGCGACTTGACCCATGGCCCATATTAGATCCCAAGTTGGTGAATATGGGTTTAGGGTTTGTCTGAAAATGAGATCCCTCTAGAATTCCATTGGGGTCATGATCAAAACCAGATTCAAACCCACGTTTCCCTATTAAAACCCATTAAAACCCAGCATTTTCACCATTGAAGTGATCATTTTCCCATATTTTTTCCTCATCAAAACCCATATTTCGCCAGTTTCCCAAAACAAAAAAAACGACAACGGCCAGCTACCAGGACCGACAGAGAGTGCCACGGATCCACCTCGCCATTGGGGAAGACCACCTGCGTTCCACCGGGAAACCTCGGCGTGACGAAGTCAGGATCGGTTCGAATGGAAAATCTGAACATAAAATGGATGAGTGGGGACTGGGGGTACCCTATTTTAGGAAATCTCCATATATATTGTAAATATATATATATAAATATATAAAAAAAATATATATATATATATCAAATACTCATCGCCATGAACAGCTGAAACGGACTTGACATCCCGGTTTGACTACAGGCCATGTTGGGATGCAGGGATAGTCTCCCAAATTGCCATTTTAAATGGGAACAATCGTGATGAAGCACTGGAATTTGAATACCCCATTTCCAGATGGCTAGGGATCAATACTTTTGATATCTTTTAGATTCATACCATTTTAGGGGGGATGAACCTCCATAAATTCAGCTATTTTGTAGGGCCACACATTTTGATCAATCCGTATATATGACTCCAGTTATGTTTGTTTATTGATAACCCCCATGAGTACTATGTATGTATGTATGTATGTCTGTATGAGTGAATGAATGAATGACTGAATGAATGAATGAAAGAATGAATGAAAGAATGAATGAATGAATGAATGAATGAATGAGTGAATGAATGATTGAATGAATGAACGAATACATGAATGCATGAATGAATCACAATGATCCCGGCAAGAGACCCCAAACAGTGTGGGGGGAGTAAACGGATATTGTATTATAATGTTGTTGTTGGTAACGATGGTGTTAATATTGATGATGATGTTGGTGATGGTGGTGATGCTGATGATGATGGTGATCTTGATGACGATGGGGATGATGATCATGGTGATGATGATAATGAGGAGGAGGAGGATGATAATGCGGAAGATGAAGTGGAGGATGAAAAGGTGGAGGATGATCATGTAGAGAAGGAGGAGGAGGATGTTGAGGGCAATAATGTTGAGGAGGATGACGACAAGGATGAGAATATTGCGGAAGATGACGTGGATGATCATGATGTTGCGGAAGATGGGGTGGATGATGATGATGATGATGATGATTATGATGATGATGATGTGGATGGTGATGTCAAGAGAGTGAGGAAGATGATGATGTTGATGTTGAGGAGGAGGAAGATGATGATGTTGAGGAGGAAGACCGATCCCAAGACCGGGAAGCACACTTTGTGCGAGCCCGCGCAGTCGAAACGCATGCCAAGATTTCACAAGAGCTACTTTATGCGGAAATTTACAGGAAGAATGCCGGGGCCCAAAACCGCGCCGCAGACTTTGTGCAAGCCTGCGAAGTTGAAACGCATGTCAAGATTTCACAAGAGCCACTTTCTACAGAAATTTACAGGAAAAATGACGCAGACCAAAGCCGCGCCGCAGACTTTGTGCGAGCCTGCGCAGACGAAACGCATGTCAAGATTTCAGTGCTACTTTATACGGAAATTTAAAGGAAAAAAGGCCGGGGCCCAGAGTCAGCACCCTGATCAAGCACCGGCCTTTACACCTACCATAAGAACCCCTCAGTGTGGACACCCAGTTTGGGGGAAAAAACATCATAAACATCACATTTTTTGTTGGCTATATAAATCCTAGCTTTTCTTGGTTTGATACTAGTTATCACTGAGTTTATATCACTCCCAACAGTCCACAGCTTTGGAGAGCTATGACCCAAGGTTTGCTCAGTAGCAACATCGGATTGAGAAAACCACGAAAGCCAATGAATGACATATCCGAGAAAAAAAACTACAGTAGATAAATTAAAGAGTTGCCATTGGTGACCACCAGCTATGCAGCAGCATCCAGGTGCATCACAAGCGGTTCAGTTGAAGGCAAAACCTAAGGAATTGCCTGAAGTTGACCACCAGCTACGCAAACAGCATCCAGCTGCGTCGAATGCAGGTACATGGGACTGGCCAGGACCCATATCCCACCGTAGACGGTTTTCTCATGTTTCTTCTCTATCACTTCGGCGCTCGGTTGGCCACGAGATAACAAATTCTGATCCAGTTGATCCAGTTGATCCATATCAAGGAAACATCACCCATGGAAAACACAAACATCATCTATACTTGGATATCATTGGAAAATGATACAGTGTCAGGCTATGCTGCCTTCGTCATCTTCGAATCACGAAGGCAAAGTCTCCAACGAGACATCCACAATGCCATGGAAAAAACACATGAAACAAATATCACCAGTATCATCAGCTAAAAGGCTCCATACATCTGGGTAAATTATAATATTTCACTAACCTGAATTGTAAGGCCATTGGGGGATGATTTCCCTTATCACAACCATTATTCCAGGGTTCGGGAGAACAGTGAGGTCGCTATAATATACCCAGAAATATGATTCAACAAACCAACAGCAACTGCAACTTCTTTACGGAAATCACCTAGCCGAACGGATCTTCATCTCATCAAAAAATGGACATTGTATTCAACTTGTGATATTGCATAATAGCCCAAAACAAGGTGATAATCAATATCCATTTACAAACATAATCATAAATATATATTGGATATTGGAATATCCCGTTGGACAATGTTATTCACCTTGTGATATTGAATTTACAAAAAACATACTGTAAATGTTATTGCGTGTTTTGCAATAACACGATGTGAAGAATCAATTTAATGGATGGTTTGCCCATGACTTGAAAGTCACAGTTTTTGGGGTCGGAGATAAGGTCGCTGCAATTTATCCGAAGATAACTTTGGCAATCTTAGATACTTTGTCTTGTCTAGATGATTAGATTTCAAGCTGGTTGGTACATATCGATATCTAGATACCACCATGAACTATTAACCATTGTTATGAAGGAATTTCCACTATCCGGTGATATGTTCGGATTTCAAAGAATCAAATTGCCGAAGAACTTTGTCCCTCCGTAGAACTCGTTGGTCTTCCGAACGTTGGCCAACACTTGCCTCAAAAGCATGGCAGGCATCAGCTGCGACGAGGAGTACCAAAATAGGGTAATTACCTTAAAAAGGCACACTAGCCATAGCCATACATCATATCATGTATATATATATACATAATGCAATATAATGCCATATATTCCATACAATGCCACATATACATCTAAGATCTAAGATCGATTTTGATGCCGTAGTGGGTTTCTCATTTCTGAAGTGTAAAGGTGCATGCGTGCATTGGAGGGTATATCATTCTAAGCCATACATACCACAAGTTCCAGACTTTGGTGCTGCGAATCCATGTCAATCTCTATTGTTGATCCCAAAAAGTTGTGTTGGAGCCATCCTTCCCCTAAAAATTGCATGGAAAACTCACCAAAAATATTCTGACAACACCAGAGATAGTTGCGCTTTGCTGATGTTGTAGACCTCAAGGCACATGTTGTACCACAGGTCCATGTCATTATAGCCGCGCGTAAAGGGACCTCAGACAGCCCAGAAAACTGCTTGGTTTCAGCTCTGGGATGTTTTGGGAATATAATATATGCTCCACTTACAAGAAAACATATGTTACCCTCTGGTTATTCAACATAGCCATGGAAAATCACCATTTATAATAGGTAAACCCAGGTAAACCATCTATTTCTATGGGCCATCTATACCATGGCTATGTTAGTCATAACCAGAGGGTACGTGTTTGAATCACACAACTGCCACAGAGAAATGTTACCATCTGGTTATTTAACATAGCCATGGAAAATCCCTTGTAAATGGAGGTTTTAATGGGAAAATCATCTATAAATGGGACATTTTCCATAGCTATGTTAAATAACCAGAGGGTAACATATGTTTTTTCAACATCATCAAGCTGCAACCGCAGGCCAATGATACACTCGCAGCACAAAAATGCTCTATTTTGAGGTGGGAAATAACACTCCCAAATATCCTAGTCAGCGATAGTTCAGCTACCTGTCCCAGAACATTGCCATCGCGCGCAAAATGAAACACATCGAGTCCCCAACAGCAGGCAGAGCTCAAGACATGTTGGAACTGAACTGAAGCAAACAGCTTTGCGGTGTATTGTTCCTTGTCTCAATTGCTTCCTGATTCGCTCTAGGTCAAAGGGTTTCACCATGCAAAAGGCATGAATATATACCTACCTTAGTTGGGCATTTTGGGACACCAGCCGCCGGCATATGACAAAACGTGAATTCACCCCGTGCCAACGAAAAGACACATCATCAAATGGCTTATATGGATTCCTATAGACCTATAGATTATCTTTTTTGAAATGTGTACTATATAATTCCCTCCAACATAAATCTGGAAAAAATATAATATTTCACTAACCTGAATTAAGGCCATTTGGGGATGATTTCCCTTACTACCCAGATAAATGGATCTCCATCCGCTTTCGCGATGCTTGTGTAAAAATCACCAGACCTTCTCAACCCACTGGACCTGCCCCTGCAGTTGAACACATGTTTTCCCCACTGTTGATGTCATGTGAACTACTGCTTCTATGGTAGTAGATGACACATATCTATGGGTAAATTGGGGGCCTAAGTACAGGTGCAATATTTCATGCGAGCACCCGGCCATGGATCGCCATGGCACAATTCGAGCCTTCATCGCAAGTGATGAAATTTCCCCACTCCGTGCAGAGTTGATACCTGTCCAGTCGCCAGTCGTTGAATGTTGGTGTTTTGGCTGCTTTTGATCCCAAAATTGAATGGTTCATCTTCATGCTTTCCCATCAAAACTCTCCATGTCGTGACAATTATTGGACTCATGTGGATCTGCCCTAGTTGTCATCGGAAGCACCTACGAAGTTTGTTGATGTTTTGCCTAGTATGTTCAAACTTGGTTCACTGTTGTTTATGGGGGATTTGAATCTGTATATATATATATAATATGTCATACGTCTATATTTATATGGTGAATGGGGTTTACAAAGCAACTTACATATATAACTGGGAGGCCTCATCTTGTATGTCGCTACTATACCAGAATGGCAAGGCATCGGGTGTTCCCTATGACCAGGCTTTACCCAGCTTTGAGGAAATTACCTCGGCTCAGTCTCGCAATTGGTGATTCACAAACAGGTGAGAAAACATACCATTCACGTTTTATCACAGTGTACTAAACATGACACGCTTCAAAACCCCAGCATCCAATATTCTTGCAACATTCGGATGTCAGATCACCACTATTAAAAGCAGCCCCAATGAAGTGGTTTGGAAGAAAGCTCAAGACACAGCGCTGGAAAAGTCGTTCAAACCATTTGAAGATCGACATCAACTTGCAGGAATGGGGTGAACCATATTCAAATCACCAACTGGTTGGTGGTTAGTGGTTTCAACCCCTCTGAAAAATATGAGTCAGATAGGATGATTATTCCCAATCTATATGGAAACATAAAATTCCAATGTTCCAAACCACCAACCAGATATTTGTCTCCCCCACCCATGAGAATGTGGCTCATGGATGCCCATGGTTAATCTATCCTGGTCCAATCCGCACATCCGAGGGTACCACCCTGTACCCCTCAGATAACATCATCATGGTAAGGCCTCAAACCATCACGGCAAAAATTGGGACAATAATAATAAAAAAAGGGTTATACCATGTTATACCCCCCAAGAACATTATTAGACAATACTTTTAACCACCTCCCGATAATCTAATAACGGTTGATGGGGGTGTACCTCTCTAAATTCGGCCGGCGACCGCTTCAGATCTTAAGCTATCGGCGATTAAACCATGAAAAGTAATGGTGGAGCCAAGTAGCTTGTCTTTGCAAATGAATCGATTTCTCAATCCTGAAACAAAGTTTTCTTAGACTATTTCAGGATCATTCAGGGAATTGTTGAGAATTGTTGAGATATTTTATGATATCAGTTACCTCTATATCAATCAATATGTCATTTATGAGGTCGCTGAAGCTTGCTCAAACGGAATGCCCCTTGCTCTTGCGATTCCAGCGGTCGATTCCAGCGGGTGCAAACGGGGCGCGTCCAAATGCGGAAGAAGTTTCTGGAGTCGCTGTGTTTTTCGATGAGTTTCATGCCTGACACGCAGCGACCATCAAATCTCTATGTATATGTATATATATATATATATACTTGGGTGTGCATCCCAGCATATAGCCCCTGTATGTATATATATATATATATATATATTATGTATGCACCCTCCGGCAAGCAAACACGGCAGTTGAATTTTCACCCATATGTGCTCCCATCATGGAAACCTACGTTGATAGGGGGTTGTCGATTGCCATGCTGGATTAATGGAGGGTGTCTATGGATACATATATTATATATATATATATTAATTAGTATATATATATATACACGTCATCAGAGATATAGGGATATCCCGTTTATAACTGGGTTATTCTTATGGTTACCCACTTGCGAACTGGAATTGTCTTGGAGATCAGCCAGAAAGAAACGATATATACATGGATGATACATACTTTCACACCATTGTCGCACTTTACTTCATACAGTAGATAATGCATTATCATGATACGCATTTCTGTTCCATCTAAAGGGATGCTGCAGATACCATTTTCTTTACCGGAGCACTTGAAAAGAACAACTATATGTAGGTTCTATTGGTTTGTCAATATGGAATTCAATCACTTATAGTGACCCGTGTGTTACACATATGAATCATGATCCACGGACCTTAAAAGATAAAATTGGCTTAGATCAGCGGGTTTTTCTCCCCAATTTGACAATTTGATGATAGAAATCCCCATTTTGTAAATGTGCAATATGTAATATGTATCCATATTATCTCCATCAAACCAAGATAGACGTGGTTTCAAGGTCATTGCATCCATCGCGGAATCTACACCTGATGAATGGATAATTGGAAGTGAATCTCCCCAATTTGTGGAACTATTTGCTAAATCAATAATTCAATAATCTTCATCTGCCTAAATGAGCAAGGAAAGTAACAAACACCACCCAAATTGGCTGCAGAGCCACTGAAAAAAAAGGCGACTCACAGCGTCCAACCCTTTTTCAATCGACACCAAGGAACTGTCGAGATAGCTCTGCCAGGAGATATCCTCAACGAAATGAAAGCATTTCCAGCCAACAAATACAATTAAGCTGTCACCTTCCAATTGGAACTTGACGACTTGGCATTTTAACCATCAAGTCTGACTGGGTTGTAAATGGATACAACACTTTTTGTTGTAGCATGTTGATCAGTGTGAGTAAAATAGCTTCAACGGGCGATTTATGATATTTATGTTGAAGGCAAATCCTACCAATGTTCATGATTAAATAGCAATATTAGGGTCAAACAGCTAGCACCCAATTAACAACAAGTGTTTTTTGTGCCTTTACACATGGCAGGACATAGCTGACACTAGATACCCTGCAACATAATCACTAGTTGGACCTGATATATTCATCCATCAGAACAGAAAACTCAACCAACTCAGGTTGCCCATTTTTTCTGGATAATTCACTCATTCGTTACCACCGCCGCACCATTTGCATCAACAAAATATATGACGCAACTTGTCACTAACCATATGAGCACCCGGCACGGCCAACAGTCGAGCAAGCCGTCTCGCCAGCAGCCCTGTCCAAATGATATAAGGTGATGCCCCAAAACGTTGATCGCAAAGTTGTTAACTAAGGAAATCATTTAGGATGGATGGTATAACACTATCAAACATATGGGCTGAACATCAACCAACAAACATCAATCATTTCTGGTTGGTGGTATACCTACCCCTCTGAAAAATGATGGAGTTCGTCAGTTGGGATGATTCTTCCCAATATATGGAAAACATAACCATATATTTATATTAAAACCAAATTGGGATATCTGTTCATTCTCATAAAAAGTATTCCAAACCACCAACCAGTTACGAAATGATTTTCCATTATACCCCATAGGATCCATGTATGCTATATATGGTAACATTTACCATCAATATACCCCCAATGTTAGCATATATACCATACATGGATCCTATGGGTACTATTACCATTATACTATTATAATCATAATCCTCAACCGTGATTTATTAAAACACTGGCCGCATCTCCACCGGCAGGGCACTGTGCAGCCAGCTGCGTTCGGGTTCCCACCTGCCACCATCTCCTCAACAGGGCCCGAGATGGTGGGATGGGTCAATATCTGTACTCGTACGAGCTGGACGTGATGGCTAAAGGGCGTGAAATCATGGGATTAACCATCAATCACTGCTAGGGATATCATGGGAATATCATGGGAATATCATAGGAATATACACTGCTTGGTGGTTGAGCCCTACCCCTCTGAAAAATGATGGAGTGAGTTCGTCAATGGGCTTGGGATGACATCCCATATATGACATGGAAAATCATCCAAATGTTTGAAACCACCAACCAGTTTGTGATGGTTTATTCAGATTTCACCAACATGGGGATATTCAAATGAGTCAACTTGAGACTGGGTCAGCTCAGCTGTGGAGGTTCCATGAATTTTGCTGGATGAACATCCACAAATCCCAGCTGTTTGATTTTCTTTTCTAGAATCTTCCCTACTTAGGGTGAACTGACCCATAGCAGTTTCGTCTCACCACGCCAAGCGATGGAACGGGCTAAAATATAAGAGAAATGCCGTAGCCAAAAAAAATACGCCGTACTGCGGGTAAAGGCTACTTTCTGCTAAAAGCGAAGTGTTCGAGGTTCTAGGTATACCAAATAATAGAGTATCACCTTAAACATCATTCATGGCTCATATTTGGTCCCTTCATCTAGGCGTAATGCGTACAACATCAGCCAAAAATCAAGTTCCTCACCACAACTTTTGTCAAGGACCCAAGGACCCATGATGCATTTGGCCAATGGCTTGGAGAGTTTGTGCACTTCAACAACTTCCCATGGTCACATCACAGGCTGTCCGTGGCGTGGCTCACCCCAGATCCAGGGATTCACCAGCTTCGTCGAGTCTCCTCTCGTTGATGTTGCTGCAACATCACCAGAGCATCCAAATCACTCATCGTTGCCTCGATGCATCGCTCCATGGGTTGCATCAGCTCATCCACATCTACAGGTCTTAGGTGATGAGTTTTTGTTCACAATAAGTTTGACATGTGTGAGCAAGAAAAATGAGGAGTCAATGAACATTAGTTTATCATCAGCTAAAACACAAACATGATTATTGTATGTTTCAATACTATAGATCAGCAACATTTGTGAAATATCGCGAGTGACCAAGTACCTGATCACTAGAAGGTATAGTTCTTTGCCGCCAAAACAAGCCGGCCACAGGGCCAACAAACTGGCTGTGAAACAATGGCCGTTGTCGTCCTGTTGGAGTATACTCACGGACACACACTGCTCAAAAATGGGTGGCGAAACAAAACCGCGAATCTAGAGGGTCTTGGTAAACCGAACCAAAATAAAAAACAGAATAACAAACATCAGGAATAAACACGACTATATAATCATGTCTGAAATTTGATATCAAGGTATGTATAAAACATATCAAGGTATGCATAAACCAAAGGACGTTCCACGAACTACACAGCAATGGGCATCAATCATATGCAGCATATCAAAATTGACACCCCATTGATTATATTCTTCCAGATTTATTGCTAGTCATCGGTCGTTGTTGTCATCCCACACCCAACGAATAACAATTTCAATCAGAAACTATATGTGCGAGAACCTCAATAGATTACCGTTAATTATTACAAAAACGGCATCCCAACCGCTTGCTTCTCCAACCCCCCCCAAAAAATAACTTCCGTCCCACCAGACTCCGTGTCCAAGAGACACGGCGGAACGCTGAAAGATTGCCACAGAGGAGTTTGATATTACAGCTGGTGGTGGGGCATCGATTGTTGTTGTACTGATTGCCTCGGCTATATGTCCAGCTGGGTTTGTCTGAGTTTTTTTTGAGGATGGGCTGCAGCAATTGTTACAAAATCACTGGGGACTATGAGGTTTGCTTGACCCATTTTTCATGGGTTTCCATGGGCATTCCATACAAAAAAATCACCATGAAATTCAATAAAACCACCATCACATCCTCATTTTTGGAAAACCCCCTTCATGATCCCTGTCATTTGAAAAAGATATGACTGTCGTTTGCAAGGTGTGGGTTTTGGGACCCAAGGAGGCATAGAGGAGACAAATGGATGGGAAATACAAATCTGGTACAATTTGTGGGGCACCAATTTACGAAACTAAGTTGCTGCAAATAACTTCGTTAATTGCTGGGTTGATTAGAATGATATGACTATAGTGAATGGGGTCTAGAAGCCAACACACATTACTGGTGCGACTCCAACTTGTACGAACAAGTGGAACAAGTGGTTTCAAACAACAATGGGTTCATGTAACAATATGATTCCCGCTGCAACGATCATGAAATTTCAGAAGCATTTCAATTGCGAATGCAAACAAGGCTCACGACTGTACCAAATTTAAGCAGGTTTCTTGAGCCATAAACCCATTTTCCATGAGGGGGACCATGACACACATCCATAAACCTCAAACTTGGGGATGGTGACTGTGGCATTGGGTGGATCCCACATTAGTGGAACCCCACGCACACCTGCAACATTATAACGTTGTGAACATTCAACTGTACCAAATTTATGCAGGTGTATGAAATTTGGAGCTCAGAATATGATCATTTCCTCCAGCAGAAATGCCCCAAACCAACAGTTTCCACGCAAACGACCCGTCAAGGAGACATAGTTTGACCTGCCCAACACCCCGCGCCCAACTCCCCGTCCAGGTGCTAGTGATTACGCCAAAACCCGCCCAACCGCCGATGTTTTGACGCACATCCAGCGGATTGCTTCCTGAGTTCGGGGCTCTGAGCAGTGAGCTTCACATGACTCTTTACAATACAATTCAATATAAATATATATATATCTGTAACGCTCTATATATAATGATAAAAATAATTATACAATTTTTATTATGCTACATATAGTATAATCTATTTATAACTTGATATAAATGTCATATTATATACATAAGGGTGCCCTGACAACAGTTTTACATTGGACATAGTGCTGTCCAATCCCCTCCACCATGGTGTACCCAATAACGGGGGAAGGGGTTTGAATTGGTAGTGAAACCTCGGCATGATCGTGTTCAATCGCAATCTACAGAATGGCTACAGAATGCTATACAGATCCGGAAGGCGAAGGACGGGTGGCTTCTTTGTGCACCAATACATACATCCTCTGCCCGGCCAAGACTTGGACAAGGCTATGATTTGATTTGGGGGTGAGCCGTATCTTCTCGGAAGGTCAACCCCAAACGTCTCGAGCACAATCCTAAAAGTCGCTTGGGAAAGATCCTTCCCAGGACAACAAAAGGCCAGAGGACGCACAGGAGAAGTGATCGGATGGATACGTTCCGTTAAACCATATAGTGGTGTTATAGATGTCGGCGAGACGTACCTCTCTTGTAGGGGTACCTCTTCGCTTGCTGAGGCCGTCGGGACACTGCCGAGGCTGAGGCTCTGTCAGGCTCGTCGCGGCGAGCTCCACGGCTGCTGCCTTGCTCCTCCTTGTGCACATGAGCGCACCTGAAACGCAGAACGCGTTCGATCTCTGCGCTTTTGTAGGCGCCACCTGCAGCGAAGAACACGTCATAGCGTTCTCAGCGCGTCAGCCCTGCCCTCTGCACGTTGCCACGTAGGCGGCGATAGATTGCCCAGGGAGACGCTTGTAGCCCAAATAGGCACCCTGTCTCCCCTCAAAGCGCTCGTCCACCTTCGAGCCAAAGGCATCGTCGAGGAGGCGCAGCATGCGCTCGAGTCCACCCTCGGACTGCATATCGTCCACCTCGAGCTGGTTCAACACCTGACGTGCTTCTCCCCTGCGGTCATCATCAGGAACATTTGGAAATGCCATGAGGTAAGAATGAGTTCTGCCGCCGGACCGGCAGATTGAAGTCCTCCCGATGCTGTCATCGTATCTATTTGTGCGTGCACCAGCCGATTTCCAAATGGTTGGGCCCAATGGAGCGCGCCACTTCGGCTAGGAGATCAGTATCGGGCCGCGTCATAGGTCCCAGATGCACTGGGTGAATTAAGTGAAATAAAACATATTGGTGGCGTCACATAGTGGTGGTGAAGAGTTGATGTGTTCGGGAAGGCAATTTGTGTTGAAAATGCACGATGAACAAAAACTGCCTCACCCCAAAATTCTTTGGGGAATGGTCCTCTGTTTTTGGGATGGAATAGCCTCCCTTCAGACAAGGTTTTTAGTAGTGACCCATCTTTTTGGGCATGGATAAATATCGTAGTTCAACTTGAAAAAATAAATGCTCATTTCAACATAATCTCCCTTCCTATTAAATAAGCCATAATAATAATAGACCCAGGTATTCACAGTAAAACAATGAGTTGCAATATGTTACAATACTATTATAGACAATAATTACTTTACTTCGAGTTATCCCCACCAGGACATCTATACGTTTTGTTACTGGCAAATCTTCTGGCATTCTATCTGACATATCTCTGGCATTTTATCTGGCATATCTTCTGGCATTCTATCTGGCATATCTTCTGGCATTCTACCTGGCATATCTTCTGGCATATGTTCTGGCATATCTTCTGGCACTCTATCTGGCATTCTATCTGGCAAATCTTCTGGCATATGTTCTGGCAAAAATTCTGGCACTTTATCTGGCATACCTTCTGGCATTCTATCTGGCATATCTTCTGGCATTCTATCTGGCATATCTTCTGGCATTCTACCTGGCATATCTTCTGGCATATGTTCTGGCATATCTTCTGGCACTCTATCTGGCATTCTATCTGGCAAATCTTCTGGCATATCTTCTAACATTCTATCTGGCATATCTTCTGGCACTCTACCTGGCATATCTTCTGCAATATGTTCTGGCACTCTATCTGGCATATCTTCTGGCATATCTTCTGACATTCTATCTGGCATTCTATCTGGCAAATCTTCTGGCATATCTTCTGGCATTCTATCTGACATTCTATCTGGCATATCTTCTGGCATTCTATCTGGCCGTTGGGGTCCAGCGGTGCGCACTGAGCTGGGAAGGTCCCAGGTTGAGGTCCAGCGGTGCGCACTGAGCTGGGAAGGTCCCAGGTTGAGGTCCAGCGGTGCGCACTGAGCTCGGAAGGTCCCAGGTTGAGGTCCAGCGGTGCGCACTGAGCTGGGAAGGTCCCAGGTTGAGGTCTAGCGGTGCGCACTGAGCTGGGAAGGTCCCAGGTTGAGGTCCAGCGGTGCGCACTGAGCTGGGAAGGTCGCAGGTTGAGGTCCAGCAGTGCGCACTGAGCTGGGAAGGTCCCAGGTTGAGGTCCAGCAGTGCGCACTGAGCTCGGAAGTTGGCGAAGAGCTTGGCGAAGAGTTGGCAAGGCGGAAGTGGAGGTGGAAGTTGATGCAAACATGGTCGAGGAGAAACTGGCGGAGGAGGCGGAGGAGGAGGAGGAGGAGGCGGAGGAGGAGGAGAACAACTCTGATAAAATCTAACAACCCTCACCTGGCAGGCGGGGAAATAACAATGCTTTCAACTGTCAACGTCATTCGACCATTAATTACATACACTTCGGTAATCAAATGTGGCAATTGGACATTCCCTATCAGTGGAGGATTATAGCTGGAAGATCATCGAACCAAAGGGTGCATTTTCCAGCACGCCATCTTTGATTAGCGGAGGGTCATACACCCATTAATCACTACAATGTGAGGCCGCCAAGATAGCTAAGTTGGTTTATAACTCCAATAACTATGGTTGATGGTACTTATAACTGTAGTTACTGGGGCTCATTAACCAACTTATAACTGGGGGGCCACATTGTATTAATCATCATTCTTAACCATTGTCAACTACTATTGTGGGTAATGATCATTGTTGACCATTGTCAGCTACTATGGTGGGTAATGATCATTGTTAACCGGTGTCAACTATTAACCATAATATAACATTATGATGGTGGGTCACTAACAACTGATGTTAACCATTCATCCCATTAATCATTCACACTGATCATTGACATTAATCACTATTCACCATTGATTTTATGATCAGTAAGATAATGTTAATCAAATTAATCACTATTAACCAGAACATTTTATGAACCATTTTATGAACAATAGTTAATGGATACACTTGATCAGGTACATTGATTACTATCACCAGTGATTTTTTGTAACTATTAGCCACCATCAGTTACATTAATCACTACTATGGTGGCTAACTATTAAATAACATTACATTAATATGGTTCATAAATCACCATATTTCATTAATTAGCCACCATAGTAGCCACCATATTACATTAATTAATCACTACTATGGTGGCTAATTGACCCATGGCCATCATGGCTGAGAAAATCCAGGGCTCCGCAGAGGTTGAACTTCTTCTCCAGTGAACGTTTGCCGCGCTCCGTCTTCAGCAAGTCCTAACTGGATGCATCGTTCGGCAACCCTGGGTAGGAAGTCCCCTAACTAGGCTTGTCTCATTTATAACATGTTATAACTACAGTATAGGTTAAAACCCCACTTGCTATAGCCCGTGATTCCTTGATTATGTGATTTAAGTGATGTTTCCCTATGTTTGGGTGACGTTTGGGATACATGTATAATCATAGGCAAACATACCAAACAGGGATAGCATAGTGAAGCGCAGTCCGCTTTCAATTGGCTCGCAACCTACAACCAAGATTTCAACCTCGTGCGAATTAATTGGTTTGTGAAATCAGGAGATGCCAAGAAAAATCATAAAAAATACAACAACAACAACAACAACCAACAACAACAACAACAACAGCAACAACAGCAGCAGCGGTAAAACTATTCAATGGCAAAACCCTCTACATGGCTATGTAAGCACAGATGCCCACCCTGTCCGAATATTGTACTATTCCAAAATCAACCACAATCAATCACAAACAAATTAACATCACATAAGCCATTTTCACACACCTTTCACCTAATTACATGGTTTAGATGTTTAGTCTGTTCTGAAAATAGGGTACCCCAAATCCCATAGTTGATAAAATCATGTTCCCCATTGAAGGGCCAACTTTAGGGTTACTACCTAATTTTAAGACACATCCAAATATCGCATCAGGTTGGTATGTATATATATATATAGCAATAACAAATTATATACATTATATATATATATATCCCAGCGTCATACAGGGTATTTCAAACAACATGGGTATATTGACCCTTACAAGGTGATGCCCCCAAGGTTTTCAGATGGTCGAAAAAAACACATCTAATTGCAGTTGTTTATCACCACCTTGTACCTGTACAAATCAGATGTTTGGTGGTGACATTCATCCAAAGTTTGGTGGCCAAATTTCATTATCATGATATATGTACATATCCCATTCTGGTTGGTCTCTTCCAATTATATCCCATTCTGTTTCATTATATCCCTTGACATCCCCACATTACATCCCATGGCTGCATAGACTCGCCTCTCATGGCAATTTCTGCATCCAGGTCGCGCCAAGTTCTGCATGGCCACGGCTTATAGTGGCCAAGCATTGCCTGGAACCCAGGGGGTGGAGCCTTTGGTGGTGAACTGGGGTGAACCACCACAGCAGTTCAGCTATTTCTGTTGAAACTAATGGAATATCATTGAATGGTGGATCATCATTTCTGGTAAACTAGATTCTGTGAAATCCCTAACCAACTCCAGATGTCAAAAACAAATCTGAAATCCTTCTGCGGGCTGCTGCTTGAAACAAACTTATGGACCTTGTTGATTATTTTTCTTGAACACACTTACAGCAAATAATAAACACTCTCAACTTCTCCACTACCTTTCCCCCCCTAAAGGACTTTGAGGAATATCCCACTCGTTCACATTTTTTTTTCTAATGAGATAACCCACGACATGGGGACTTACCATCACCAGTGGGAACCCCACTTACGATCCGAGGGATGATCCTCCAATGCTCCAAAGGTATGTCCAAATCATCTGACCGGTGAGCTTTGTCGTTTGTCTCTCAATGGACCGAGAAAAACTCATTAGTGGGTAATACCTTGATCCAAAAGTGGGACCAAACATCAAATAATGGTAATTATCTTCATATAATCTCGGCAAATGATGTTTGTTCCTAGAGTGGGACAGAACAACATCAATGTTCGGCATGGTTCCCCGGAATCAGCATCATACACACAGTTACCTCGTGGTGATTTTTTTTAAGATCCGCATACTTGGATGCGCATCCCAGTTTTAAAGTGGGCAATATCTGTGATATAACCCAGTAGTTGGATATACCCTAGCAATTCTTGACTTATCAACTACAGAGTAACGGGATGCACTCCAAAGTAGCTATCAAAAGTTGCCAGCAAATTGTTCGATGTGATTTTAGCGCGCACCAGAATGCACCATATCATAAATGAACTAGGCCTAGAATTAGGAGTGCACTAAGCCCAAAATAAATAGATGTTTCACTTGCCGCGCATGTGTTCTTCCAAAATCTATAGACTCTGATACCCATCTCATCCCAGATCTAATGGGACAAACAATCATTTTTCTTCTATACGACCATGAACAGAAACTGTAGGGGTGATCACTGCTTGGTTCCATTTTGGGGCGTGATTGTTTTGAAAAATCCTGCCCCCTAGTCAAAACTTGGTTGCTTACCCATCTAGCTAGAGATATATACTGTGATTTAACCCAATAAATATTCCAGTTTCCTTAACCAACTTAGCTAAGGTCATGGGGCACCTTGATACCTAAGTCCCTATGGTTCGTTGTTATATCACACTACATATCCCTATCAAGTCCCTATAAACTCCAGATGATATCCTTATATGTAAACTCCAAGATCATCCCCCTGAAAATGATCAAACATCTCGTAAAACCCCTCGGAAGTCCCGAAAACCAATCCCCTCAAAATCAGTCTTTCATCAACATCAAGTCCATATCAAATCCCCTAGGACATCCCTATAAGTCACTGTAAATTCCCTATGAAGTCCCCATAAAGAAACCCATAAAATCACCATTCAAACATATCCATGAAAAGTCAAGAATCACCTATAGAACCACCTATAGAATCAACAAAAAAAATACAGGAATCACCCATAGAATCACCTATAAGACCTATAGAATCAGCATAATCCCTATAAGTCGTTGGAAATTCCCTTTAAAGCCTCCATTTCCCCCATGTTTTTCATCCATGTCGCTCCAAGTCACGGCGTGCCAAAGACACTGGGTGCCGCCAGGCTAGAGGCCACCACGTCATGGAAGCCCTGGAAGTTCATCTGACCTCAGGGGATGCCATGGTGAAACACAGTTACCCTCTGGTAAACTAACGAAACCTATACCAATGCATTGTGCAGGAATATTGACCTCGTGGCTTTTTTGACCCATTTGGTCAACATCATGTATACACTCCAAAAATATACCCTCTGGTAATTTGTGACATAGCTATTGAAAATGGCCCATAGAAATAGTTGACTGACCTGCTAAAAGTGGTGATGTTCCATACTTATGTGGCTGTTTACCAGTGGTGGTTTCTGGTTGGGCTTCCATAGAAATAGTGGATTTACCCAGCTAGAAAATGGGTGGATTTTCCATCGTGAAATGTAAACGTGTACCAGAGAGTAATGCAAGCATCTAAAAATATGAATATCATACCGGGTTGGTGGTATACTTACCCCTCTGAAATGATGGAGTTCGTCAGTTGGGAGGATGACATTCCCAATTGAATGGAAAAATAAAACATGTTCCAAACCACCAACCAGGTTTTATGATGCTATTGAAGTCACAACATGATTTTTGGAACTTGGGAAGAAATCCAAAATGTTGGGAAATCTTGGGAAGACATGTTATATGATGGATTTATATGGTGTATTCAAAATTTCACATCTATAAAGCATTAACTATAGTTATATTCACGATAAACCAAAGTTAACCAAGTCATTTGCCCCAACTGAGCTATCGTTTGGGGGCCACATCTTGCAAACTTGCAAACATGATGGATTTGAGCAACCCAACTGGCGCAAAAGACTAGGGAAAACCCCTCAATAAAGATCATAAAGCCAACACGAAACATAATGAAACCTCAAAAGCACAGCTCGGAAAACAAATTTGGGAAACCTCAAGGGAAAAAGATAATAACAACACAATCCACGAATGTCCACGTTGAGTCTTTGGTTCCATGCAATGTTGCTCAATCAGCCATTCTTCGTGCCTAGACACTCTCCCAAGTTGGATGGTCAGATGTGCATGTTTTGGTGAGCCATCCCATGTTGAGATCGTGTCCAATCGTTTGTTTCCAGCAGTTGTCCCCGATGTGTTGACTCATATACCAAACATTTTTGGTTAAGGCCGTGATATCCCACCATTTTCCTCAGTTTTTACTTGCCTATATCATGTTACCCCCCCCAAGGGTCTGCTATTTTCCATGGGTTTTCATCCGGTGTTCATTGACATATCACCATGGAACTGGTGGTATCACCAAAATGGGTTTTCACAAGGACATCTATGGTTTCTTTCGTGAACTTCACCATGTTCTGATTGAATCCCCCCATGAACTAGTTTGTTAGATCCCCGCATCAACCCTAGTTCACCAAGTTGGAAAACATCAACTTAGCTATAGTGCTATAGTGATAAATCGCCCATGAAATCCCCATGAAAAATCCCATGAATCACCCATTAAATCACCATTGTTGCTGGTAACATCCACATGTTTTCATCATTTTTCCAGATGTCTACGGTATCTTATTTCATCACTTGTCATCAATATTTCCATCATTTCATCATTTTTCATCATTTTCCCACAAGTTTTCCAAGGGATCTGCCCCCATCTTCCCCACGGCGTTCACCATGGCGACTCTCGATGGGCGCCGACGACGCCACCGCGGCCGCGAAGTGCTGCGGGTAGAGCTGCCGCGCCCAGGCGCTTAGGGCGCCGCTGTAGGACCCGCCGAAGGTGACCTTGGGCCATTTTCCAAGGACAAACATGGCAATGGTTAATCTATAATTAATGGTTAATACTTGTTAATCATGGTTAGTAAGTGGTTGATAATGGTTGATAATGGTTAATAATGGTTGATAGTGGATAAGAATGGTTGATAGTGGTTAATAGTGGATAATTGTGGTTAATAATGGTTAATTCCATAATGGCTGATAATGGTAAAGAATGGTTGATCATGGTTACTCATCTCCCAAGTGTAAGGCCAGTCTTTTTTAAGGGCGAGTCTTCGGCAAAACAACTAGAGAGATTCAACCACCAAAAACCAGCGAGAAAACAACTGGTAACATGTGTGAAGCTACCAGTACTTAGGTCGGTTCCATCAACAATCACCATAATCACCACCCAATTTTCAAAATGTTCATTACTTTTCAAGAAAGCTGCCGGCAGGTTACCAGGCTCCCACCAGTTACGACCTGATCACCCCAGTACCGCAGTGCCAGGCCACCCACTGGGCATCCCTCAGATCCAGCGGAGGCGCCGCATTCAGCCCCTGCGCAGCGATGAACTCGCCTTGACGCAGCAAGAAATGGGGCTGAACGTTTCGGGACCAACATGGCTGAAACAATGCCATGGTAACCACCCATCTATTGGTTATTTCTATGGGATAACAAACATTCTATAAATGGGGTGACTTGTTAGTACTTATAACTGATAAATGAACATAACTGTAATGAATGGTAAAAATAGCACCTGTAAAAATGGTGACTGGGGGATGGTTTATGTTTGTTTTATCCACAAGATCTATCTTAAGTAACATCCTAATAGATGGAACTACATATAGTCAGAATATAGAGTTGACCATATTTAAGTTATAAGATCGCTGCAACATATCAACTATTTCTCTCATTGAAGAGTGAAAAAACTTCACCGAGCAAGCAAAGCCGCCAAGTCCACATAGTGTTGAAGCCATGATTGTTTAAATCAGCAGTTACTTGTATCAGCAAATTATCCTCAACAAATGGTCACAAAAAACGGGCAGCATCCAAGGTATCCAAGTCGGTTTTCTCAGGAACCATGCACAATGTTCTTGCAGAGTCCATTGCGGCATTGTCAAGTTGCTTTTCTGCAAGTAGAGTAACAAGCATTAGATCGTGTATAGATATCCCATATTATCCAATATTATCCAATATTATCCAATATTAGCTTTACATATCCAATATTATCCAACAGATTCTTAGACACATTGCTTTGTTCAGAGAAATGTCAGACATGCCATTGTAGGACAAGTGATGGAAAATCCATCTTTGATCCGATATAGGCGCATAGTCTAAGTTCCAAATATGCTTGTTTACAAACAATTCTTTGTCATGGAACATCCTCCAGTTATAGAGATGTTCTTTTACAAAATAGAGGATTTCCATTTATTGAAGATTTATAGATGGATTTTATTGAGGATTTTCCATTTCTTATAGCTAAAACATATTTATAGAGGATTTCCCCATTCAAACACGATGCTTTGAAGGATTCCAGCTAGCCATGGAGCTGATGACACCGGAGTGATCTTCCCATATCAGCCCACAGCAAGATCCCCCAGGGTAAACCAACATTGATGTGGAAAAAAATGATAACAATAAAAAAAGATAATAATAAAGGGTAAAGATGGTGATTAATAGTGATTAATAGTGATTAATAGTGATTAATAGTGATTCAAAGTGATTAATGGTGATTAATGGTGATTAATAGTGATTAATAGTGATTAATCGTGATTCAAAGTGATTAATGGTGATTAATGGTGGTTAATAGTGATTCATAGTGATTAATGGTGATTAATAGTGATTGAGAGTGATTAATAGTGATTAATAGTGATTAAGAGTGATTAATAGTGATTAATGCTGATTAATAGTGATTAATCGTGATTAATAGTGATTAATAGTGATTAATAGTGATTAATGGTGATTAATAGTGATTCAAAGTGATTAATAGTGATTAATGGTGATTAATAGTGATTAATAGTGGTTAATGGTGATTAATAGTGATTCATGATGATTAATGGTGATTAATAGTGATTAATAGTGACTCATAGTGATTAATGGTGATTAATAGTGATTAATGGTGATTAATGGTGATTAATAGTGATTCATAGTGATTAAAAGTGATTCATAGTGATTAATAGTGATTCAAAGTGATTAATGGTGATTAATGGTGATTAAGAGTGTGTAATAGTGATTAAAAGTGATTCATAGTGATTAATAGTGATTCAAAGTGATTAATGGTGATTAATGGTGATTAAGAGTGTGTAATAGTGATTAAAAGTGATTCATAGTGATTAATAGTGATTCAAAGTGATTAATGGTGATTAAGAGTGTGTAATAGTGATTAATGGTGATTAATAGTGATTAATAGTGATTCATAGTGATTAATAGTGGTCCATAGTGATTAATGGTGATCAATAGTGATTACTAGTGATTCATAGTGATTAAAAGTGATTAAGAGTGATTAATAGTGATTCACGGTGATGAATAGTGATTAATGGTGATTAATAGCGATTAATAGTGATTAATAGTGATTAATGGTGATTAATAGTGATTAATAGTGATTCATAGTGATTACTAGTGATTCATAGTGATTAAAAGTGATTCATAGTGATTAATAGTGATTCAAAGTGATTAATGGTGATTAATGGTGATTAAGAGTGTGTAATAGTGATTAAAAGTGATTCATAGTGATTCATAGTGATTAATAGTGATTAATAGTGATTCATTTACCCAATTCCTTTTCTATCCCAGCTCCAAACACCTTCTGAGACTGTAATTGTGGATGGATTTTAGGGTCCAAACACCTTCTCAGAAGAAATTACAGGTGTGTCTATTCAAGCCTTGGCGTTGTCACCCTCACTTAAATATGCCTCAAATCAACACCACTTGATGCCTGGCAAACAAAAATATGGATCCACCCAGCAGAAACATCGCCAATCTAAGATCCACCCAGTCAACAGCAATGTTCAAAAACTGTGTAGCTGATTCGTGTAGTGCTGGCGATATGTCAAAAACCCTGAAATCGATATGGCACTCCACAAGATTCGATCGCTGAACAATTTATGGATGTTCATCCCAACAATTTTCGAAAACCATAGCTGCTATCACATCACCCTGAAGCTGGACGCCCATATCAAAATGTAAGATACATTCTATACTCAATGGGAGATCTCCAGGATCCTAAAATGGAGGTACGTTAGTACTATGTTTGGTACTATATGTTTGGCCATATTTTCTGGGGATGTTCCCTTACATAGGCCTTATATAGGCCTTATATATGGTAGGTCCTACCTCCGTCCTCAATCGGTCCATTGATATACTCCATTTATAATAGCGAATGATTCACGGAGTTGCCCATGCTGGATTCCAGTCACGAAAAGCTGCCGCGTCAGCCAAGGCTTGTCGACCTTGGAAAGTCATGGATCATCCCTGGGTGCCCCAAAACACTGATCGCTGACGACTGTTTTATGTCACCCTGGGACCCTCTAGATCCCTCTGGTAATTTTGAAATAGCTATGGAAATTATGGAAAAATGGATGATCAGATTGCAAAGTTGTGTTTGTTCAATCTAAATTGTCACATAGCTATGGAAAATGAATGAGCATTGGCCCCTTTATAGATGATTTACCTGTTCGAAATGGGGATTTTCCACAGCTATGTTAATTTACCAGAGTGTGTTTCACTAATTATAGGAATAATTATTAGGGTTTATGGATGTTGTATGGTAGATATGGTTTGTCTAAACATCGCCTACTATCATTTTTTCCTATTCAAACGGCCATTTGCGGGTATACATTGAGGTCTGCCCCCGCCCACTAACAGTTCAAAACTGCCCCCCCTTCATAAACCACATACCAAAAAAGCACAATCATATTGGTGGTAACTCAGGCCATTTTAGGGGATCCTTAGGGTCTGCTTAGGAGAAGATGTGATCTAGGTGGGCCGTACAAGTAACAAATGGTGGAGTAGTGAATGCAACAACATCACTACCTTTGAGGTGGCATTGTTTGTGGTTAAACCATTTAAATCATTTTAACGAACATCCTTTTGTATTGCGCCATAGTGTTGGAGCCATCAGGACATGTTTGCTGAACTTGTCATCAAGTAGCCAAAAAATCAAAGTATCGATGTTGCTGTTGATATCCATTGATGGTTGGAACGTTGGAATGGTTCTGGAAAGTCTGACAGCTGACACCATTTTGTTTATCTGAATATTTGTGTGTCAAAAAGCAATGGCAATGATATGTTATGATGATGCAAGGTGTTGCATCGATATGATGATACGATATTATGACTCATGACATTCTTTACAATATTGAATGCAGCATACCTGAGATACCGAGATACTGCAATCAAACGGTCCAACCATTGTAAGTTATAAGTGAAAAGCGTTACAAAGGCGTGCCTCCAACAATAGTTGTTGAGGTTCTTAATAAACATCATATGATAACTACATTTTTTTCACATTCCCGCTCCTGGCATGGGCTCACTCTTGAAAGTTTTTTTTTGGAAAGGAGGTTGGAAAAAAGGAAATGGTGTGAGACATTTGCCGGGCCGCTGGTCCGAAGGCTGTCCAGGCCAGGTGGCCTGAGATTCATTTTTTCCAAAGAAATTGTGCTTTTTTCGTGCTTTTTTTTGTGCTTTTATGTGCTTTTTTTTGTGCTTTTCCGGCGCTCACGAGCACCAAAGCAAGCACAAAAAAAAACACAAGAAAAACACAATTCATACCACAAAAAAATGCACAAAAAAAAACATAATTCATACCACAAAAAAATGCACCAAAAAAAAAACACAATTCATACCACAAAAAAGCACAAAAAAAACACAATTCATACCACAAAAAAAATGCACCAAAAAAACACAAAAGCACAAAAAAAAGCACAATTCATACCACAAAAAAAAGCACAAAAAAAAGCACAATTCATACCACAAAAAAAAGCACAAAAAAAAGCACAATTCATACCACAAAAAAAAGCACAAAAAAAAGCACAATTCATACCACAAAAAAAAGCACAAAAAAAAGCACAATTCATACCACAAAAAAAGCACAAAAAAAAGCACAATTCATACCACAAAAAAAAGCACAAAAAAAAGCACAAATCATGCGCGTTTCCAGCCCGTTCGCATGTGAAATTGTGAAGGGAAACTATTATCTAATTTGTTTTCAATTGCCAGAAAGCACAAAAAAAAGCACAAAAAAAAGCACAAAAAAAACACAATTCAACCCAAAAAATCACAAAAAAACACACAATCCTACCACAAAAAAAGCTACAAAAAAAAACCCAATTCATACCACAAAAAAAAAGCACAACAAAAAAAAACACAATCATGCCCCATACCAGCAAAAAAAAAATTTTTTTCAAAAAAAGCACAATTCATACCACAAAAAAAACACAAAAAAAAGCACAATTCATACCACAAAAAAAAGCACAATTCATACCACAAAAAAAAGCACAATTCATACCACAAAAAAAGCTCAAAAAAAAGCACAATTCATACCACAAAAAAAAACACAAAAAAAAGCACAATTCATACCACAAAAAAAGCACAAAAAAAAGCACAATTCATACCACAAAAAAAAGCACAATTCATACCACAAAAAAAAGCACAAAAAAAAGCACAATTCATACCACAAAAAAAAAGCACAAAAAAAAGCACAATTCATACCACAGAAAAAAGCACAAAAAAAAACACAATTCATACCACAAAAAAAACACAAAAAAAAACACAATTCATACCACAAAAAAAAGCACAAAAAAAAACACAATTCATACCACAAAAAAAAGCACAAAAAAAACACAATTCATAGCACAAAAAAAAAACACAAAAAAAACAAAGTCATTTTCCTTTTTTCCTGCGCCAGTTTCTGTTTTTTTTTGTGCTTGTTTTGTGTTTTTTTTCTGTTTTTTTTCTGTTTTTTTTCTGCTTTTGGAAAGTCGCTGCTTTTAAAGCATTTTCAATTGGCCAGCCCGGCCCAGCTCCAGCCCCCACCTCAGCCAGCCAGCCCGCCAGGCCTCTAGTCCCCCAGCATTCCCCAGCTCCCAGGCTCCAGCCCCCAGGCTCAGCCCCCAACCCTTGCCCAGGGTCAGTCCAGCAGCCCCGGCCTTTATATGTATTGTACACACACATTCTATTGTTTTGCCATCGGCGCTGCGATGGGCAACATTCTAAACCCTAACAGAATTACTTTTCCATCGGCATTGTGGTGGGCAGCATCCTAAACCCTAACCAGTGTTGCTGTGCCATCAGCGCTGCAATGGGCAGCATCCGAAACCCCAAACAGTATTGCTTTGCCATCATCGCTGCAATGGGCAGCATCCAAAACCCTAAACAATATTGCTTTGCAATCAGCAGCATCACTACCCACAAGGTGCTGACAAGCTGGATGCATGAGGCATCCCATTGGAAATGCCAATGTCGAATTTTGACAGCAAGGACTTCTGGGCATGGCAAGAAAATGTGCCGACCGTGGAGCCAACTTGCAAGGAATATGCCTGGTCATCTAGCCTTAATAAGGGGAAATGAAAGTCATATTGGGGACTACAACCTGATTTTTTTTGTGTTTTTTTTGTGTTATGAATTGTGGTCACTGTTAGTGTCACGAGGCAGAGCCCAAGCTATAGTCACCATCCCCAAGTTTGAGGTTTAGAACATATACTTATTGGGTATACCTTGCATTTTCCTGCAATGGGACGATGGTCGAAGTCTCATAGGTCTAAATATATCTAAATGTTAGATTCATAACATCCAAATGAGTGGCCACTGTTACTGCAAAACCCGAAACCCCGGTAGGTCGCTTCCTCCAACAGTGTGGGAAAACACCCCGAAAGCCCAAACCAGGCACCGCGCACGGAGAGCTCCCTGGAACTGTCAGGTTCGCTGTGATCTTCGCTCACGAAATAGGTGATTTCTCCCCCAACTCATGGCTATTTTGAAGGGGGAACTTATTTCTGGATGATATTTAGGTGAAACTATTTGTGAGGGGGGAACTATATGATCATTTTTGGCTTTTAACGCATGATAATTTTTGGATATCCTGTTTTCAGGCAAACGGGAAGGCCATTCTGAATTCATTGGATACCTTTGCGAAGAGGAACCTCTCCTTGTCGAGGCCTCCGCCAAGCACGCCAGTACAATCGCAAGCGCCGAATCTTGGGTAGAAAACTATTGAAAGTTCATGGACTTCTTTCTAAGCTACTCAGTTGAGTAATGTTGAGTCACTTTCGGGTTTTGCTTTGTTTGATGTGCTGGGCAGATGCTGTTTGCTGCTAAACAAAAGGAGAGTGGATGCTGCTCAGGAATTCGAATGCCTGGCAGCCTGTCACCAGTGCGGCTGGTGGAGCGGGCGGCACTCCAGGACACCATGTTGCACCATGTTTGTGCATGGATTGCAGCATTGGAGTGCAAGTACATCGTTGATTGGTAGCCTTGGAATGAGGCGTTGTTGCACTGACTTGCAGGCCCGACAAATGTTGCTAATGTAGCGCCTAGTGCAACGCAGCCTAATGTGGGCAATGCGTCAAGGCAAGGTTGTGGAATTCCTCACGATGATAAGATGGTTCTCTGCTTTTTCCTTTTTTGACTTTGTTGGCACTTGGGTTGTCACTGTTGTCACATTCACAATTTTACATGATTTTGCATAAATGAATTTTCAACTTTGAAAGTGGCACATGATGCATTGCCTGCAGGCCTCTACAAACTATGCCGGTACAATCGCAAGCACCGAATCTTGGGTAGAAAACTATTGAAAGTTCATGGACTTCTTTCTAACCTACTCAGTTGAGTAATGTTGAGTCACTTTCGGGTTTTGCTTTGTTTGATGTGCTGGGCAGATGCTTGCTGCTAACAAAAGGAGAGTGGATGCTGCTCAGGAATTCGAATGCCTGGCAGCCTGTCACCAGTGCGGCTGGTGGAGCGGGCGGCACTCCAGGACACCACGTTGCACCATGTTTGTGCATGGATTGCAGCATTGGAGTGCAAGTACATCGTTGATTGGTAGCCTTGGAATGAAGCGTTGTTGCACTGACTTGCAGGCCCGACGAATGTTGCTAATGTAGCGCCTAGTGCAACGCAGCCTAACGTGGGCAATGCGTCAAGGCAAGGTTGTGGAGTTCCTCACGATGATAAGATGGTTCTCTGCTTTTTCCTTTTTTTGACTTTATTGGCATTTATTGGCACTTGGGTTGTCACTGTTGTCACATTCACATGTTTGCATGATTTTGCATGAATTAATTTTCAACTTTGAAAGTGGCACATGATGCATTGCCTGCAGGCCTCTACAAACTATGCCGGTACAATCGCAAGCGCCGAATCTTGGGTAGAAAACTATTGAAAGTTCATGGACTTCTTTCTAAGCTACTCAGTTGAGTAATGTTGAGTCACTTTCGGGTTTTGCTTTGTTTGATGTGCTGGGCAGATGCTGTTTGCTGCTAAACAAAAGGAGAGTAGATGCTGCTCAGGAATTCGAATGCCTGGCAGCCTGTCACCAGTGCGGCTGGTGGAGCGGGCGGCACTCCAGGACACCATGTTGCACCATGTTTGTGCATGGATTGCAGCATTGGAGTGCAAGTACATCGTTGATTGGTAGCCTTGGAATGAAGCGTTGTTGCACTGACTTGCAGGCCCGACGAATGTTGCTAATGTAGCGCCTAGTGCAACGCAGCCTAATGTGGGCAATGCGTCAAGGCAAGGTTGTGAAATTCCTCACGATGATAAGATGGTTCTCTGCTTTTTCCTTTTTTTGACTTTATTGGCATTTATTGGCACTTGGGTTGTCACTGTTGTCACATTCACATGTTTGCATGATTTTGCATGAATTAATTTTCAACTTTGAAAGTGGCACATGATGCATTGCCTGCAGGCCTCTACAAACTATGCCGGTACAATCGCAAGCGCCGAAGCTTGGGTAGAAAACTCTTGGAAGTTCATGAACATCTTATCTACTCAGTTGAGTAATGTCGAGTTCACTGTTGGGTTAGTTAGGTTTTGCCTTGTTTGAGGTTCTTAGCAGATGCTGGTGATTTTTTGCCTCGTCTCAAGGGTGAAAACATGGTGAGTCCGAGCTCAGGACTGCGAGATCACCCGGGCCCAGGGGACCCAGGCCCGCTTCCCAAAATGGGCAGGAGATGGGGGGATTTTACCCTGAGAAATGGCAACGAAATTTGGTTTTTGGTTGTGGATGATGGATCATCAATAGATCAATAGATCACCAAATACTGGTTTCCATAAGAGGTACCCCAATAGCTGGATGGCTTATAATGGAAAATCCCAATCTAAAATGGATGATAACTGGGGGTACCCCCATGACTTAGGAAACCTCCGTATAGCATTATAGAATGTTTTATAAGTATACTACCTACTAAAATGGGAGGCTTCAACGTATACTAGATATAACTTAGCTTGGAAATAATATACAAACGCATCGCATGCCCTCCCTTTGAATAAACCTGGGGGTTTATGGGCGTGTCTGAAAATGGGGTGTCCCCAAACCCGAATGCAGTCACGTAGAACGCTTTTGTGAAACAAATTATATGAAGAGTCTTGAGTCTTGTGCATTTTTCACCTGTTACCGTACCAGTGCACTGTAGACTGTGGAATGCGGAAGAGGGTGGAGTGCAAAGTGTGGAGTGTGGAGTGTAAAGTGTCGAGTGTAAGGTGTGGAGTGTAGAGTGTGGAGTGTAAAGTATAGAGTGTAAAGTGTGGAGTATAAAGTGTGGAGTGTAAAGTGTAGGGTGTAAAGTGTAAAGCGTGGAGTGTGGAGTCTAAAGTGTAGAGTGTGGGGAGTGTGGAGTGTAAAGTGTGGAGTGTGGAGTGTAGAGTGTGGACTGTAGAGTGTGGAGTGTAGAGTGTAAAGTGTGGAGTGTGAAGTGCAGAGTGTGGAGTGTCAAGTGCAGAGTGTTGAGTGTGAAGTGTCGAGTGTAGAGTGTGGAGTGTAAAGTGTGGAGTGTGGAGTGTAAAGTGTGGAATGTAGAGTATGGAGTGTAAAGTGTGGAGTGGAGAGTGTGGAGTGTAGAGTGTGGAGTGTAAAGTGTGGAGTGTAAAGTGACGGTTGCGAACGGTTGCGAACGGTTTCGAACGGTTGCGCAACGTCGAGCGAACACACCCTCAACCCCCAGACCCCCAGAGTGAAACGGGAACCCTTGCTGCGCATTCGGGAAAAAATGATGATCTGAGCGGATTTTGGGGGCCCCATGGGGACCCCATTCTAAGAGAATCGCGTATCAATCATTCAATCCCTGTCCATTTTTGCTCAATCTCAGGCCAAAGTATGCCGGCGTTCAAGTGAAGTCCATGCCTCAGACATTGACGCCCCGGAGGTTTGGCGGGTGTTCGCTGCGGGCACTCAAGCCGCGCTTAGCATGGTTGGTCGTTTGAGATTTCATGATCGATCAATGGATCAATACTTATTTTACAATTATTGTAATCTTCTTATATCTTCTTATAACATATCTGGATCATTTTCGGTGAACATCTAGAACAAGAACAGCTGCTTTGGGGGTTCACCATGTCCCACCAGGGTTTCGACCCATCTCCAGACACCAAACACCTGGTACGGTATCGTGCAAGAACAGATCATGTCTGGAGAATTTTCATGACTCAGTTATATACATAGACTGGGATATGGTGTGTATACATATATATATATAACTATATAATTTTCATCGTAGATATTAGATATGCATAAATCAATCACATCTATAAAATAATATCTATATATATTACTTCATATACCCTCTGGTAATTTAACATAGCTATGGAAAATCACCATTTTCAATAGGTAAATCCACTATAACTGGCCATTTTCAATAGCTACGTTAAACTACCAGAGGGTATACAAGTATATTTATCCCCTTATTCAGCATCAATCACCATCCAGTGCGTTCACCCTCCGTTTGCCTCGTTCCCCCGAGGCTGGAGCTGTGCCCCAAACCCTACACGGGTTTGATCTTCGTGGCCAAGTGCACGTGGTGGCCTCCGAAGCTCTTAGAGGAGGCGGCTGCAAACCGGTGGGATACTGGGTGTGGATGGAATGGAATCTTCAAGATTAATTTTTGTATGGTTTTATACTACCCAATATATTGGGGATACTTGGGGATTATGATATTTATAATAATCCAATAGGGGAATCCCTATTAACCAAACAGTATAATGGAATGACAGAGGGGTTTTGAACACTGCTCATATGGTTATGGGTCAACCATATGGTAGTAATGGGTTTTGACACATCCCCATAGTTTGACGAATTTGACGAATCATGAAATCTAGAAAACATTTTTCTGTGCATATGTGTCATATGATGTATATATACATATACACACATACATACAATCATACAACGGCTTAAGATTCCTGGGTCCTGCAGATCCTGTTTTTTTTTGGGATGATCCTTGGTCAGTGGCCTTGATATCTCAGGTACCCTCCTTCAATCAAACATTACAATGGCATTGTGCTTCATTTATAGACGTTTTTCCCACTAAAACCTCAAAACAAAAAAGGGTTTTGCAAATGCCATGTTTAGCTACCGGAGGGCAGTTTCAGTGCTTACTATCCCCTTAGTTTCTGATTTTGGAGATGGTTATCCCAGTGACACTTGGATTATTGCACCTCCAGTGATCTTGCCATGATGTAGCAAGACCTCAATAAGAGTCCATGGTTTCAGCCTCAGCTGGCAAAAAAAAAGACGCAGACATGGGTATGTCTTGGGATGATGAGATTTGTGCATGTGGATTGTTCACCTTTTTTTGAAGGACTAATCTTTGCTAGGCTAATCTGGCTGAAATTACTGGTTTTGATGGGTAAATCCTTCATATGTCTAGGTGAGCATCCCATGTTTGATTGCCAGTATATTTGAATATTCTTTTAGACATCGGATCATATTTTTGATTTGGGCTCTGGTAATCATGCATGGCAATGGAATATCCACCCGCTTGCAGATTGGCATTTCCCACCTTCAAAAACTCGGAGGTCTCTGGCTGGGACACGGCGCACAATCGCGGAGTGGACGGGGAGGCGCCATTTCCCATTCTCATTGGGATCAGAAAACCATGTTTTTCCCCACCTGCCAGGTGAGGGTTGTTAGATTTTATGTCAGTTGCCTGCTCCTCCTCTCCTCTCCTCTCCTCATCTCCTCTCCTCCTCCTCGTCGTCCTCCTCGTCGTCCTCCTCGTCGTCCTCCTCGTCGTCCTCCTCGTCCAACTGCGACCCGCGATCCACAGTGTTCTCTGTCGGACCTCAACCACGACCATCCACGCCCAGTGTTCCCTGCCGGACCTCAACCACGACCATCCACGCCCAGTGTTCCCTGCCGGACCTCAACCACGAACATCCCCGCCCAGTGTTCCCTGCCGGACCTCAACCACGACCATCCACGCCCAGTGTTCCCTGCCGGACCTCAACCACGACCATCCACGCCCAGTGTTCCCTGCCGGACCTCAACCGCGAGTATCCACGCCAAAAGATATGCCACATAGAGTGCCAGAAGATATGCCAGATAGAATGTTAGAAGATATGCCAGATAGAATGCCAGAAGGTATGCCAGATAGAATGCCAGACAGAATGTCAGCTAGAATGCCAGAAGATATGCCAGATAAAGTGCCAGAATGTTTGCCAGATAGAATGCCAGCAGATTTGCCAGATAATATGCCAGAAGATATGCTAGATAGAATGCCAGATGGGATGCCAGAAGATTTGCCAGATAATATGCCAGAAGATATGCCAGATAGAATGCCAGATGGAATGCCAGAAGATATGCCAGAACATATGCCAGAAGATATGCCAGAAGATATGCCAGAAAATCTGCCAGAAGATATGCCAGAACATCTGCCAAAAGATATGCCAGGTAGAATGCCAGAAGATATGCCAGATAGAATGCCAGATCGAATGCCAGAAAATATGTCAGATAGAATGCCAGAAGATTTGCCAGTAACAAAATGTATAAATGTCATGGTGGGGATCACACGAAGTAAAGTAATTCCCTTCCTAAGCGTCCCTTGACTGCCGAGCAGGTTGCCTTCAGTACTGCCCACTACAAAGCTGTCCTGAGTCGCCTGCAGGAGTGACGCATCCGCTGACAGCGATTATGATAGTTGATGGGTTATGAAACAGGGAGCTATAGCTGGTTTATTGATGTTTATTTATGTTTATCGATGTTCATAATATTGGGATTATGATCACTGTACTATCTGGTTTGATTAATGTGTCTTGGGGATTATTATACTCATACCACCTGGTTTATTCATGTTTATTAGGGATTATATACATATATATATATATATATGTATGTACATATTACCACTGACCGAATGGGAATTGCGTGCTCCACCAACCTGCGTAATGGACTCGGTGAAGTTACACTGGAAGCGATCACTGGTTGGTGTTTTCACAGGCTGTTGGATGCTAAACAAAGAGACAGATATAGACACGCACATATCTATACATATCTACATCTATTCATATCAGCGTTCATATACATATACAGATACATATATATATACACATATTTCTGCCTCTCTATATGTATATACATAGGCTTGTTTACATGTCTTTCTGTATATAGTAATGTACAATTGTGTATAGTATAGTAGTAAGATACCTATCTATACCTGTGTAATATAGTATATAGCAGTGATATAATCACTATACATAGGTATACATATACTATATCACTATTTTTCATCCAAGAACAGAATTACCTATTACATATATTTTACACTACAATATAGTGTAATTAGGCCTTCACACTACATATACACATTCATATACAGATAATAAAATATACACATCTATTATTATTCACTATACATAAATTATACAAAAATACCTATTATGATATATCTATAGATATAGATGTACATATATATATATAGATATACATATAATATACACAATATATCTCTCTGGTTATTTAACATAGCCATGGAAGCCATGGCCCATAGAAATAGATGGTTTACCGTTCTTAAAAATGGGTGGATCTTTCCATGTGGCCCAGGCACTGAACTCTGATGGCTTGGAGATCTCCGCACTGCCGGACTGGGTGTGCCAGGTGGGCCACCAGAAAAAAACGAACGGTGGATTTTAACCAATCAGAATGGTGGATATGGTGGCCAAAGGGCCATGAAAAATGGGGATGTGGTGTCTTTCACCAGGTTGAACGGTTTAACCAGCCAAAATTTGGGGATTTCACCAAAATGAATGCTGAAAGGCAGCAAGAATGGTGGCAAATGATGAACCAATGAATCACGAAAAACTGTTTTGGGGTTTGCTATCATTCACCTGCCAAAGTGTGGATTAAGCAATACGAAAAAACAACAAGTGACGTATTTTGCCAACGATTTTTACGGACTTTTTTGGGGTGTCTGAGAACGGAGCTACCAAAATATCCCAAAATGATCATTTTAATTGGGGGTTTCATGGTGGGAAGCCATGAAACTCTGTACCCGGTTTGAAGACTCCAAAAAATCCAGCCATTCAAACCGATAATTACACCTTGCTGGCAAAACTGAAGGTTTTTTCCATGACTAGCAACGCAAACTTGAGATTCAAGCACTACTCACAATTTTGCAGCAAGGATATGAATGTGTAGCCAAGAAGGCCGGGCAAATACCGGAATAATCCGCAATATGCGAAGTTGTGTCACTTTTCCAAGTTTTTTGTTGGAAAAATTGCATTTCAAATATCTTTTCCCCTAAACCACACATTTTCACATCTGAAGTCACACAGCACTTGGATTTGTCATCAAATTCGCAGGCCATGTGGAAACGACAACATGATAACCACCAGTATGTGGGTATGTATTATAACAGATTCACAATTTTTTGTTTTATAATACCATTAATATCCATTAATTATAATGGAAAAACCCACGTGGATATTGTAAATATAGGTCAATATTGGTTATTACATAGGTAAATATTATAATATAATATAATATAATATTATGATTTTATAAGATATCCACATGATGTTTCTATAATGCCACCTTTATTGTCACGGCCCATTTCCTGCAGGTCGCGGGCTTTGAGAGGTGTGGTGGAGCACCGGTGGGCGGCTGCCCAATGCCTGAAGCGCAAGAGAAGGCGCGGTCGGCGATGGCGGCCCCGGCAAGAAACGAAAGAATCAAGCATGATAAACCATGGCAAACTAGGATAAACCATGGCAAACCATGATTCAAACCATGATTCAAACCATGATTCAAACCATGATTCAAACCATGTGGGTTTGATTGATTCGCGGCATTAACTTTATATGCTTTGGGAATATGAACCAGCAAAAACCATCGGGTGTTTAATGGGTATATAACCAGAAAAACTTTATTTTTCTTTACGGGAAGTCATCAACAGTGGGATGGACTGGGGTTTTAACGTTGAACCATTCCAACTCTATTGGTACTGGGTCCAAATTTAGAGCGCCCCTTAGACCCCAGATTTTGGCACTGAAATTTTGACCTGTACCCACAGAAATGGATGGTTTGAGATACTTTAACCCCCAATGTTGAAACAAGTATGTTTGGTAGTTTTGTTTGGAAGATGGTCATATGGTCATATGGTCATAAGTTTGGTAGCCGGTCAAACTTCCGGTGTGAATGGATATGGGTCAAACTTAGAAACCTATTGGAGCTGTATTGATGAACCGCTTGGGGTTCCACAGCAACAAACCTGGGGAGATAGCAACACATAGCAACACGAAAACATCATCAGTTCAAACGGAACATCTACAGGAAGGCACCCTTTTTTGGTGGAGAACCCATTAAAAAAGACATGACAAACATTGAAAGACCACTTGCTGGTTGGTGGTTTGGAACATGAATTCTATTTTTCCATAATATATTAATATATTGATGAACTCATATATTTTTCAAGATGCTTATTGCACCACCAACCGGATATATTATTCATGAGATCAGGTATTAATCACTAACAGCACCGCTATGAATCACTATTAATCACTATTAGCCATGGTTTTTTCACCAACCAGTTGGGAAGCACCACTGGTTTCCTCCGTTTCCTCCAAGATTTCGAGGGCGCCTGACAGGTGGACCGATTCCTACAAACCTTGCCTGAGGTCGGCTGAGAAAAAGGATGGCCTTGGAGGAACCCAGGAATCGGAACTGGATCATAGATGTTAATCACATTTACGAACCATATTATATACATACATTATATACATAGTATATATATATAATATATATATATATATATTATATAATATATAATATAGTATAATATCTATATATGCTCCCGTGTCCCGTGTTCCCACCCCCCCCCCCCCCCCCATGGGATGGGGGGGGGGTATGATGCCCCTGGGGGGTATATGACCACCTGATGGTGGACCTGATAATATGATAGCATACATACCTACATACATACCTACCTACCTACATACCTACGTACATACATACATACATACCATTACATACCTTACCTTACATTACCTTACCTTACCTTAATTACTTACCTTACTTCCATACATACATACATACATACATACATACATAATACATACTACTACATACATACATACATACATACATACTACTACATACTACATACATACCTAACATAAAACCCTTACCTACATACCGACTACCTTCCCCACATACAGACAATTAACCTTACCTTACCTACCTTAACCGTACCGATTAACCTTACCGTACCTTACATTCCATACAATAAACATACTACTCATACATACACATCATACAACAAACATACAGACATATCATACATAACATACATACATACTACAAATTACACATACATACATAACTACATACATACATACCAACATCCAACATACCAAATCCCCCATAACCCAAAACCAACATCCCAAACACCCCCACCACACAGGCCCACAGGGGGGGGGGGGACCAGAAGAACCATAACCACCACCAGGCCACAGGGGGGGGGGGGCCCAGAAGAACCAGACGATACTGTCCACCCATACCCATTGGTGGGGGGGGGGAGGGGGGGTGGCCAACGCTGCACCATATATAGTATATATAGTATATATAATATAGTATAATATCTATATTCTATATATATAGTATATATAATATATATAATATAATATAGCGTATATAATATATATAATATATAATATATAATATATAATATATATATAATATATATATATATATATAATATATAATATAATATATATATATACACACAGTATATAACAGTATATAGCCCAACTATTTATTGGATAACCCCACGAATCAAGGACTTAGTCACTAGGGTTATCAACCACTGAACTGATCTGTGGGATGATCTTTCAAGTATTGGTATGAAGATTTCATGGGCGGTTCATAGCTGGGACCTGAGTTGAAGCCAGGCGGCGGCCGTGCTGCCCTACCAGAAGGCAGTGGCAAAGTCTCGGAGTTTTCACCAGTTTTTTCAGAATTTTCAAGGCCTTGTTGCCCCGAAACCTTGAAGAAGTTGACGATTTTGGGTAGTCCATGGTGGTGTTCCAGTTTTGCGGTGAGCAACACTTTTTGTGGGCGATTGAACCTGTTTTTGATACCCTCAACAGTTTTTTCACACATGTTCGGTTGATTGTTAAGCATGTGTTTAAAGCTTTTTCTCTTTCCAATCAGGAACACCTTTTTGGATCCTCTGAAACATTTTTTTTCATACCAAGCTGGCTGTGTTGGAACATGGGCTATACCGTCTATACCCACAATTTAAGACAATTTTAATGGGGAAAATTATGATGAACCATCCAATTTTAGGCAGGTAAACCACTCTGAAAATTCAGACACTCCATCTCTTCAAATCCCACAAGTTTGATGGTCAAACCGACCAATTTTTGTTGATTAACAACTCGTTTTGTTGGGAAAACGACATTTACTGTTAGTGAAATCATCATAAAAACCAACCACTAAAATTGCCGGTGAAATCATCCTTAAATTTTCTTGGTGAAAAATCACCATTTCAGGGTTGCTGAAAAACTGACCACGAAAACCTCGTTGAACTCGTCATGTTCATTGCTTTACCTCCGAGTTTTCCTGACAGGAGAGCTTGGTCTTCGGCCTGCATCGAGCTGGTCGCGTCTTGCTTGGAGATGAGATGGGCTTGGGGAAGACGCTACAGGTGCCCTGGCTGGGCCTCGGGGTGGGGCTGGACCTGTGGGGATCACTGGAAGATTTCGATGCTTTTTAAACATGGGAAATTTTCAGCCAGAAACTCTGATTGGTGGATGATTAAAAATATACTGAGCACATTTTGGTTAAGTCATGGTGATAAATCACCATCAAACGCAGCGATTTTTCATCAATTGGGGTACACAATGGGATGTTTGATGGCAAATAGTCTGGATAAACTGTAACGAGCTCACGAAAAGCGATTTCATTCTAATTTAGAACGCAAATGATGATTAGGATGGGGGAAAACTCTGCTAGAGTAGCCGAACTTGTCAGGTTGGTGAATTATCTTAATTGATCCGGATGGGTTCAGGTTAGAGCCTCAATATTGTTGCAGAATGTCTGTTTTCTTGCATTCTCTTCACATGAGTTCTCCAACAATAGCAAGAATGCGTATCAATATCCAAAACCAACCACACATTGATCATTTTCCACTACCCTCTGGTAATTTAACATAACTATGGGAAATCACAATTTTTCATGGGAAAATCCACTATAAATGGCCATGTTCAATAGCTACGTTAAATTACCAGAGGGTACAATGTTCAATTCCCAGAGAATACCGTCTGAGTATGGGTCAGTCGTGGTCAAGTCATCTGGAAGGCGCCGCTGGATGGCATACCATTTGGTCCATTTGATGAGCACGATGTGTTCGGTTTCAAATAATGTTATATCTATTAATGAATCCATATTATTACATAATGTTATAGCTTTATGATATCTATATTAAATCTATGTGGTATCATGTTGTATCTATATATATAATATGTTATATATATATATATCTAATATAAGCTAATATATATAACACATATTTCATCCAAACCTGTGATGAGAATCCCAGTGCTTCACCCGAACAGTGATCCCGCGCGCGGCAAGGCACTGCTGTTGGCCGCTCAGTTTAAGGCGCCGATGGGACGCCTTGGGGACGCTGATGTTCCACACGGGACCAAAGGAGATCCAAAGCAAAAAAACACAGTGGAAATTAATCTGGACATATCATAATATATCATATATCATGATTATATCATGATTATATCATGTAGATATCATCATATAGATATGCCATATATCATATATATATACATATATCATCTACATGCCTTTATGTGATCTTTAGCCACATGTGTTTCACATTCTACGCTTAACTTAACTGGCTTTAGGACGAATGGCCCCTATTGGTGGTGGCGCCCTCATCCTTGCGCTTCGTGTGGCGGGACCAGGACGTTCCGGAAGCAGTTTGGGCTGGTTGGGCTGGTCGGGAAAGGGGTAAGAGTCTGAGATCTTCAAAATTGGGGTTTCGAGTTTAGGTGATGGGGCCTAGGTCCTGGATTTACCTTCTGCTCAGCTTCAAATTTCGGAAATGCACAGACTGCACAGACGCTTGCTCGACTTGTGCACATTTGTGCACCCTTCGCATCCAAGTATAGTCTAGTATAGTATCGTATCGTATCGTATAGTATAGTAACAGTATAGTAACTATAATATAGATATATACTATACCATAAAGATCTACATTCTGTATAGTATATATCTACTCGTCGCAGCATATGGAGAGATGTGGAGAGTATCAGCCACCAGGCAGCACAGTGGCTACCCCACTGGGTTGGTGAAAACGGGCAAGACGTGCACGTTGTGAGGCCGTGAACTTCGTGGGAAACTTCACTTGGTCCACAGGTGGCATAATGTGCATGGACACAAGTACACTTGTATGGCAAGTGTGTGTGTGTGTATCTATATTAATATATGGGTATATATATATATATACATACATTTTGGATTATTTGAAGTCAATTGGTCATTTGAAGAAGAAACCAAGACAACTTCAGAATCTTTTTGAAGCACTGGCTGCCAGTGAAGCTGATCAGCTGATCCATTGCGGATCAATGTGGCCCATCCCCAAAGCGTGTAACACGACAGGAATAGCAAGGACAAGGTGCAGAAGTCGGCGAAGATCGTAGCGACTTCCCCAAATGTGGAAGTGGGAGATGCGGTGTGAGACGCGGCTGCGGGTGGAAAAGGACCATGGTCATTTCATATAAGTTCTAATTCCAGGTTTTTCAGTGAATTCTTAGGTGATGGTGATGGAATTATGAGCTTTGACCACAAAAAAAAATAGGGATAGAGCCAGATCAGTCTGAAAAGAGAACTCGCCCAGTTGGGCCCAAAATTTGGAGCCCAGCCCAGCCCGACATTGTTTTCGGTTGGTTCTTGGAGGCACTTGGTGTCCAAAGCATCCCGTTGCCCCGTTGCTATCTGGGTTCCCTGAGGTGGTCACCTATGATCTGCTGCGACGCTCTGAGAGCTTGCGACGCCGACCTTCGGATGGTTCCTTGCACTGCACTTGGGGGATGTTGGGGAGGACAAGTTTGGCCAATTTCGGAGGAGAAACATATGGGGTTCTCACGGGGTACCTGAACATGGTGAGATATACCACATTTTCATGACAATATTGAAAATTGTTTCATTGCAAGAAATGATGAACGGCAATCATTTTTTTGGGGACATTATTTTTGGACCAACCTAACGATGAAAGTTCTATCAACTGAACTTGGGGTTTAAGGTTTAGCCAATAAACTAATAAAACTTGTGATTTTGACCGATAATAATGGAGGGTTTCGTACCATCAAACTGAGGTTTGGACCAATAGCGATTTCAATCAACAAATCTTGTGGGGCTGAAGGAATACACATGGCATTCTCAACCAATCACAGGTCTTACACACTAGAGGTTTTAACCAACACTTCAGCGTCAAATTGATTTCAAAGGACAACAGGGGGAATTTGCAATGTCTTGCAGGTTTCAACTAGTCAAACAGAGGGTCATGGTTTAACCAAAAGGGAGATGTCACCAGCAGACATAGGGATATAGCCAGAGTCTGGATTGCTGGAGCAACATCAGGTTGGTGACTGTTGGTGGAAGCCTGGACATTTTTGTGGGTTGTAATGGAGTTGAATGGAGTTCAACTGGACTGAAGTTGAATAGCTTGGATGGACTACCCTCTGGTGAATTCACAGTTTTGTGAAGGAACGTGATCACTTTAGATCCATTTGGATCGTTTATTCGCCATATTTGATGGATCTAAATGGATATGCCCCAGAATTTAGATCCAAATTTCGCTATTTAGACCTAGGATGTTTTTCCATTTGCCATGACAAAAAATCAGGACGTGGCTACCTGGTGGTGATCGTGGATGAGTCCCAGAGCATCAAGGCTTTCCCAGAGCAGTCTGAAGATTAAGCCGTTTAAGGCTTAAGATAGCAATATGTACATACGGTATATATATATATATATATTGGTATAGTAAGTATAGTAGTCATCGTTTCAGTCGTTTAACACAATGGGTGTTTGGTGTTTCTCAAAAAGGAGGTAGCCATGGCTCAGTAATTCACCATGAAACATGGTGATTTTCGGATAGCTCCAGGAATCGTCCTCCCAAAGGACCAAGGTCGTGGTGCGGAGACTCAGCTCAGAAGCAGCGTTTTTTTTCTTCGGATTTGACCATGAAACAGCGATTAGACCATTGATGTAGCCAGCAAACATAGGATGGCGAGAATCGAACATGATGGGTATGCGTTCTCTTTTGAGTAACCAAGAGTGGATGGTACAGTTTTAAAGATCAATAAACTTGGTGGTGACTGGAATCGTAGCGACTGGGGATCACTCAAGCCAAACTTCAAACTTCAATAACGCAGTACAGATGTTGGTAATTTTCCAAAGCAGTTACACCATGCAATTTCCTGCGGGTACCAGAATTCTACCCATCAGCTGATCCATACAGATGATCCACAGTTACATCACCTGCCTAGGTGGGCGTCTGCAAGGCTGCGCGACGGGTGCTGCTACTCAGCCCGGGTCCTAGAGTTTCCGAGGGTCCAGTAGGTGGCAACGTTGCAAAGCTGCTGAACTCAACAAAGAGATTTTGCCAACAAGAATGGGGAAAACAAGACAGAAATCATAGTGGTCTGGGGCTTTTTCTCAATCATGTGGTGCTGAAGTATGTACTGAAGTGTTTTTTTTGGGATAAATATTTTTTTTGAGGCTATCCATTTGAACATACTTGACCTATTGCTCTTCCAGCTGATGGCTAAGGTGGTACACCTGCAGTGAACCGTGCCTGCGAGTTGTACACACAGTTGGAGGCTTATGGATGTCGTGGGAGGGGATGAATCCTCTGGCGCTGAAAACCCAGTGGAGCATTTCAAGAGCCCAAGGCAAAGCACCACTGTTGTTGATGGAAGAAGGCCCTTACGAATGCTGTACCTATTGCGACCTGATGTCCCCATAATTTTTAAGGGACATGGTGACATGGTCGTAATTTTCTCCGTTACAAATGCAAGATCTATCATATCTATCTGTCATCTCCTCAGATTCTTGACTTATGTTTCCAAATCCAAGATTTTCTAACCTGAATGGGATCTGTTTGGGTCACTGAGACCCAGGGACCACAGATTTTGGGCATGTAGAATGCAGTAGACCATCCCATCACTTTCGGGTACTCCATGACATTGACCCGCAAAAAATCATCCAAAAAATCAGTGGGCTTTGTGAAATTTACATAGCAATGCCCCCCTATGATCCCTATGTTTGATGGCAACAACCATGGTTTCATCAACATTTTCCCTTACAGAACCCATTGAAAAGCCAAAACACGCCCCATTGATACGGATGGTGCACGCGTTAGCCGCATCGGGGCAGGCGCTGCTTCCCTCTGAAATGCCCAGCTTCGTGAAGTTTGCCGAGAGATATAGCTACAAGCAGCTGGGGGTCCCAAGAAATTGAGAACTGAAAGCTATGGCACCAGAAATAGCAGACAGGTTGCTATTGAGTTGGACCTGGGAATAGTCAAAGTCCACCTTTGGGACATGTGTCTGTCATGGAGATATTGGGAGACTGGAGACTGGGTACCCATGGAAATCCGGGGATCATTTTTCCATTCAACATTCAGTGACATACCAGATTTGAGGGCATTTCAGGGCATTTATTCAATGTGATTCACATCATTAAACCTCCATAAATCCATCGAAATCCAGAACTCTCAGCCTTTTTTTTGATGAACAAAAGACCTTAGGAGATTTCCCGTTGACCTCAGGCCGGCGCCCCGCCCCCATGGCGCCAGGACGGTGTATTTCACGGGCCATCCCACGGTGAAGTGGAACGGGCTGCAGCGGAGTGGCGAATTGAACTGTCCGGAGCACTCAGCGGCTGTGGCTCAGCGGTGGTGTTCCGGGCCAGGTTTATGGATCCTATGACTAACATTGCCATGGTATAGATGGCCCATAGAAATAGATGGTTTGGTTGCATAAAGTGTAGATAAATGCCATTGATCACAGAAAAAATGTATCATTGATAATCAGAGAGTTGTTAGAGGTTTCCAACAAGTGTAGATATCAACGTGTACCCTCTGGTTATGACTAACAGTTTGCCATGGTTAAGCCATGGCCCATAGAAATAGATGGTTTATCTATTGAAAATGGGTGGATTTTCCATTTCATATATGGATAATAATCCTTCCCAACTGACTTTCATATTTTTCAGAGGGGTTGAAACCACCAACCAGTTATACCAGTATTACCAGTTATATATAGTTATGTGAATTATTCAATCATGTCGAATTATCGCATGGAAACAACACAACTATGATGGCTATATGGTTTAGTGTTATTTTATAGTTGTCAAACTAATAACTATGATATTATAGTTATATACTTTCAATCTTTTGGTAAAGTCATACAGTGGCAATAGATTGTATATAACTAACTGCATAATTACAGTCATCCTTGAGAAGATAATTCTTTTACATTTTTGAAAGTCCTCACTAAAATGGGAATACTTTTGAAACTATTATATTGAGGATCTTTATATATTATTATATTATATTATATTATATTATATTAATTATATTATATTATATTATATATTATAAATTATATATTATATATTATATATTATATATTATATATTATATAAACTATATATTATATATTATATTATATATATATTATATTATATATACTATATATATATTATATATATATAATATATATATATATATAATATAATATATATATATATTATATAATATATATATATATTATATATATATAATATATATAGTATATATATTATATATTATATATATTATATATATAATATATAATATATATATATTATATATATAATATATAATATATATATATATTATATATAATATATATATATTATATATAATATATATATATTATGATATGTATGCTATAAATTTACTTTACTCAAATATTATATAAGATTATGGCATCGACCTCTCTCTTTGATTCTTTTCGATGGTGTATTGAGCATGAGGAATTTCTCCTGCGCTGTTGGGTTACGGAGGGTAGTCCAACAGCTGGACATTGCTCGTTGCTCGACTACAGCTTGGTGGGTTGGATTCATATCCTCATCCCGGTGTTTCCCTGCCTGCGTGTCTGCCTGCTTGTTTGCCCCTCTGTATCGGTTTTAAATAGATAAATATATACGTGTATACATATACACATATATATATATATATTGATACGTATATATTAGGAATACTGCAATCAGTTAAATGTACGAATCTTCGGCTAGATCCTCATCATTCAAAATTCACTATGGCAGTCAGTGTAGTACACTGGCCATGTCAGCAGCCGTCACAGGTCTCCTTGGATCTGTCATGATCCGGCGCCTCAAGAAGGATGTGCTCCAGCAGTCGGTCGACCCAGAACCGGTTGTTGAAACGATGGTTGAAACGGAGGTGAAGGTCGCGGAGGGATGATAGATGAGGATAGTAGATAGTCTATGTTCAAGAAATGTTGCTTGGAAAAAAATAAACTGGGAGATAGACCAAAAGCCAACGGAAGCAAGAAAAGATGGTTTCGTTCCATTTTTTGATGGATGATGTTCTTTGATGTTCTTTGGTCGAGATGTCATTTCGAGAAACCTGGCTCTTGGGCTTCACCAATGGGTGGTTCGGCACGAGGCTCCCTCCCAAGCGCCGCATGAAAGTGCCTCTGGATCCCGAGAAGATGAATCAGGATGGAGAAAACCAATCCATTTTACAAACGGCACAATGGATCCAATTCTGTTGGTTTATATGATGTCTGCGTATACACATACCCTCCAGTAAACTAACATGGCTATGGAAAATCACTATTTTTAATGGGTAAATCCACTATAAATGGCCATTTTCACCAGAGTGTAATATCGATTTGTGGTGGTTTGTATCTTGAGTTTTGTTGCTGTGGAAAAAAAAACGCAGTTTTGTTGGTCGAGACCGTGTAAGAAAATCCAAGCGACAGATGGACTTGCCAATCTGTGTCACACATATGCACAATTTGTATCTATCATTTTTGGTGCACCTAATTTTACAAAATCCAAACGGAGACCTGCCAGGAAATCTTGCGAGAAGTTGAGAGGTTGGGAGTTGGCGTGACCGGTGGCCCTATACATATCTAAGATAATAGCTTTTCAAATCTACTGACATAGAAGATAGTAACAGCCGATTAAATCTAATTGATAGAAGATAATAACTATTTTAATCATGTTTAATCATTGAAATGGCTGTCTTGTGGCTAATGATCAGCCATTTTCAGACACGCCGAAGGAGTTATGGTGAAGTTATGGTGGCCTGTTGGCCAGTAATATACTGAATAAACAGACTTATATCCCATTGTCCCATGATATTCAATGATTAAATCCCATATATATATATATATATATATGGGTATGGATCAATACCTATACATACCATTTTTAGGGGGATGAACATCCATTTACCAGCTATTTTGATGTTCACCAGGGGTACAAGGTTTTAACACACTGCCATATATATATATATATCCCATTGTCAGTGGCGGGAGTTCCCATGTCAGTTGCTAGTGGTGGGATTTTCCATCCCTCTTGTTGATGGTTGTTATCCCAGCATTGGTAGTTTCGATCCAGAACGAGGCAGACCAAAGAAATGGGCTCCGTGGACTTCAGTAAGGACGGTCCTCTGTGTGATGTTGAACCAACAGTGGTGGGTTTTATTTGACATGTTATACTGCTTGGTGGTTTCAAACATGAATTTTATTTTCCATATATGGGATTAATCATCCCAACTGACGAAGTCATATTTTTCAGAGGGGTAGGTATACCACCAGTATATTTTGAATGTTATATTTGGAATCAACAACAATAGTGGGATGCAATCGGAATGTTTGATACAACCAGTGTTTTTTTTTAGCACTTTGCTATGGTGTAGATGACCCATTTAGTTCCATGGTTTCTGAGGAGAACTAGCCATTGAACGGTGGTGAAGCTGGTGGACTTTTTGGGGGACTTCCCTAAAATTTTGCAGAATCCAACATCAATGAAGAACTCAATATATATATATAATATATGTATATATAGATATATATATATAGATATATATATATATAATATGTATATATATAATATACAGGGGGTTCCCAATTATGGCACTATAGCATCTAGATATCTAGCAGAAAAACTGGAGATCATCAGGACAGAAAATGACCTGGGCATCCTGACTCTCGCAATAAAACGCATGTTTCCGACTGGGAACTATTTGGGTTCTGATTTTCAATGGGGTAACCCCCGGTTTTATATTGTATCATCATAATATTTCCCATCATTTTCCATCATTTTTCATGGTTTATATAGGTTCATTCTCATTTTCGCAGCATTTTTCCATCATTTTTTCATGGTTTGCGTGGGTTTTCCCATTATTTTCCCCTCATTTTCCCTGTCAATCCCTGCCACTTCCACCACTTCACGCGAGGGCTTCCCGCTGGGAGAGATGCCGCAGCTCTTCCGGATGACCGCGGAGGTGGTGACTTCCGAGTTGGGAAAATGGGAAAACCCTGGGAACATCATCTGTAAATTGGTGATCGCATGGGATGATCATTGGAGGTTTCCGTTCAGTCATGGTGGTACCCCCGGTCATCATCCATTTATAGATGGATTTTCCATGAAATAAACCAACCAGCTATTGGGGATCCTCCGTTTGTGGAAAACCCAAATTGGGGATATGGGAGATTACTGTGATATAATAAATCAACCATATGATTTTGAGTGTCTGAAAATGGGATACCCCCTCAAATGACAAATTTCTCAGATCAAATAGGGAAAATGATGATAAACAAATAGTGGATTGTTGGGGTACCGAAAAACATAAGACAAATCCATATGATAACAGATCGATTTAGAATGATTTATATAGATTGTTGTGATTTAATCTATTGAGTTATGATTTGGGTTTGTCTGAGAATAGGATCCCGCCCAAAAAACGATGGTTTATCATGATTTATCATCATTTTCATCGTTGAAGTGCCATGTTGGGGGATACACAATTTCCAGACACACCCACTTAATCAACAAAAATATTTGGATAAATTGTAACAACCTCATTGCGACATCATTGGAGTGACGGTTAGGTAGGATTGGGGCAACTATCCCAACATATCCTGGAATCCTCATGACTCAGTTTGGTGAATTATGATGATTCGTCCAGAATGCTGTGGATGCACAGTCCGAGACACACATTGTATACCCTCTGGTAAACTAACATAACTATGGAAAATCACCATTTTTAATGGGAAAACTCACTATAAATGGCCATTTTCAATAGCTATGTTAAATTACCAGAGGGTAAATGGTAGCTTTTTCAAAGGGATCAAAGGTCGTAATGTCAACCAACCGGATCAAGAAGGACCCAACGGTTTAGGATTGGGCAATCAGGATTGGTTGATTGCTGGAGTCGTGTTTCCAAGCCTTAATCAATCATTATCCAATTACCCGTTACCGGTAATGACTAACATAGCTATTGAACATGGCCCATTTATAGTGGATTTACCCATTGAAAATGGTGGATCTTTCCATAGTTGTTTTTTTTTTAAACCAGAGGGTATCCCCCCAAACATTATATAGTTGTCAAACTATCCAGTGGTCCGGAGGCTGAGCTAAGTAGCTATGGCATGACGGGTATCCGAATTCGTCCATCCCGAGTCAGTTATTTTTGAGCCAAGGAGCTACGGCGGCTACGGATTGAGTTTCCCAACCACGTGATAGCATGATAGAATATCCCATCAATATCCCATTAGATTAGATCCCCATGAATATCTCACGAAAAATCATCATTTCTGAATGGTTAACTAAGCAGTTCCCATTATTGGCGCTACCCCCATTTATGGAAAACATTTTTTTGTAAGTGATATATCCCAAAAAAAACACCATTGGTTTCCCATATAGTAAGTGTTCTCAATCCATTTCCAACGCTAATGTTGATCAGAGAGTATTGTCAATGGTCATTTCAGGAACCCAAAATGGAGGTTCTGTACCATATAAGGCCATATTTTGTGGGTATATTCCCTTACATAGGCCTTACATAGGCCTTATATAAGGTAGGTACCTCCAATTTAGGATCCTGAAATTCCCATTGATATTGGATACACTACCTGGAAAACCAGCACAGATCAAGGCAAAACTGGAAGCGGTGCTGGAATACGTGGGGCGACCCGATAGGAATGATCCGTGCTTCCAGGGGGTTAAATGATGTGGTTATAGTATGTCATACCACTATCACTATATATATATATGTATTATGTATATATATATATATTTATAGTATGTTGTAGTTGAATGATATGCTTGTAGTATCAGGATATATGATAGTTATGGTGATAGTTATGCTGCTGAGTGTGCATTTTTGGCCATGAGAAGCCAGAAGCCGTGTTTGGAGTGAGTGGAACTTGGGTTTGTCCCATGAACCAGGAGTCAGTTGTGCATAGCCGAGGTGGCACATTTGCTGAACAACGGAGTGAAATTCCTGGTCTTCGGTCGGAAAACCCAAGTGCTGAGAAATTCCAATGCGGTGCTTCAGGTTGGTTTGGAGCTTCTTGGATTATTTGGATATGCTTTTTGTGGATGATCCTTGACCTCTTTTGGGGCGCGTGGCTCAACCATTTCCATCCATGATAGGTTATACCTTGCCTTCACGGGTTCTTGGAGCGATGCCCAACACGGAGAGTTTAAGTTAGGAGGGAACTCAGCAGCTATTATTGCTATCCAATGCTATCCATATTCCGAATTTCCCTTGAAAAAGATGGAAAAGCCTGCGGAACTATGATATAATATATATATATATGTATATATATATAGATGGTATACATATTACATATCATTATTTTTGTAAGCAGATGCCTTCAATAAGGCATCAATAAGGCATCAATAAGGCATCAATAAGGCATCAATCACCTACCAACCATCTCCGATCGCCAGGTCATCACCACCTGGTGTTAGATGCCCGGCGGCCGAATAGTGCGGACGGTGGCAGTGGTGGGAGATCCTGATATCCCTAGAGGTGCGATGCACTTTTGATGATCTAGATATACTATGATATATACCCTCTGGTTATTTAACATAGCCATGGAAAATCCACCCATTTTTAATAGGTAAACCCAGGTAAACCATCTATAACTGGGCCATTTTCCATGGCTATGTTAAATAACCAGAGGGTAATATAGGGATGATAATGAATGATGATTTAGTAATGAATGATATCCCTATAAATATATATCCCTAGAGATCGACGTGATGCACTGATGGGTTTTTCAGAGGTGAAGTTACTAATGGTAAACAGTCAGAGCCGCTGTCTTTGGATAATATCACCATTCACCTCACCTTCAAAGTGTCATCATCATTTACCTGAAATATCCTGAGATGGCAATCACACATGGCAATGGGAAATCCGCTAAAAAATAGATGTTTTAATGGAAAAAATACCGAAAAAAATATCCAGAAACCTTTTGAGGCGCTGCAAGATAAGTTGCAGAAGCTGAAGACCGGCTTCATTCGTGGCTTGGAGATGGAAATTTCGTGGATCAAATTTGGGACATGGGGGATTTGAGCAGGAAAAGCGCGGAGCGAACCATTAATCATTAAACATATAGGAATCTGGATTTTTTTGGGGAGGAGTGCGCCAGCTACATTGGGAAAGATATTTTTGGGGATCCTATCTTTCTTGACAAAGCCATATCATCAATTTGCACATTTTCAGGATCTGACACGATCCCATTTTTGGCCCTTGGAGACAATATGAGGTTTCGGGGACTATCTTTCCCTAGCTGTGCTGTCGCTATGTGAGATACAACCATCTCCCAAAGAAAGATGATGCCTGCAGTTGGACAATCCGTGTCTGGATTGGGACACAGATCTTGACCCCTGTTTTTGCAGTTGGTAGTACATAGTAGGTGCATATTAAAGTCTACACTCCACACTCCGCACTCTACAATCCAGACTCTAGAATCCACACTTTACACTGAACACTCCACACTCTACACTCCACACTCTTTACACTTCATACTCCACACTCCACACTTTACACTCCACACTTTACACTCCACACTCTACACTCCACACTACACACTCTACACTCTACACTCCACATTCTACACTGCACACTTTACACTTCACACTTTCCACTCCACACTTTACACTTTGCACTCCACACTCTACACTCCACAGTCTACACTCCACACTCCGCACTTCAAAATCCACACTTTACACTTTACACTCCACACTCTACACTTTACACTCCACACTCCACACTTTACACTCCACACTCTACACTCCACACTCCACACTTTACACTCCACACTTTACACTGCACACTTTCCACTCCACACTTTACACTTTGCACTTTACACTCCAAACTCTGCGCTCCATCCACACTTTACACTCCACACTTTACACTCCACACTCTACAATGCACACTTTACACTTTACACTTTACACTCCACACTGTACACTGTACACTTTACACTTTACACTCCACACTCTACACTCCACACTCCACACTCCACACTTTACACTTTACACTTTACACTCCACACTACACACTTTACACTCCACACTCTTCACCCTACACTCCACACTACACTTTACACTCCGAACCCTACACTTTACACTCCACACTCCACACTTTACACTCCACACTCCACACTTTACTCTCCACACTTTACACTTTACTCTGTGCACTTTACACTCCCAACTCTACACTTTACTCTCCACACTTTACACTCCACACTCTACACTTTATACTGCACACTTTACACTCTAGACTGTACATTTTCCACTCCACACTCCACACTCTACACTTTACACTCTACACTCTACACTCCACATTCTACACTGCACACTTTACACTCCACACTTTACACTTTACACTTTACACTCCACACTCTACACTCCACACTCTTTACACTTCACACGCTACACTTTACACTCCACACTCTACACTTTACACTTTACACTCCACACTTTACACTCCACACTCTACACTCCACACTACACACTCTACACTTTACACTCCACACTCCACACTTTAAACTCCACAACTTACACTCCACACTCCACACTTTACACTTTGCACTCCACACTCTACACTCCATACTCTACACTCCACACTCCGCGCTTCACATTACACTCCACATTTTACACTTCGCACTTTACACTTTACGCTCCGCACTCTACACTCTACACTCTACACTCTACATTCCACACTGTACACTCCACACTCCACAATTTCCACTTCACACTCTACACACCACATTCCCCACTCAACACTCCACTTTCTTCACACCCAACACTCTGCACTCCACCCTCTTTCGGATTCCACAATGTACAGTGCACTGGTACGGTAACAGGGGAAAAATGCACAAAACCGTTCAAATCATGTGTTTCACAAAAGTGTTTGACGTGATTGCATTCGGGTTCCTGGGCTGCATCTTGTTTTTCCCGATTGAATGGCATTTTATGTGGACGTATCTGTAGTTTTTGCAGACGCCCATTGTGTTGTTGGTGGCACTTCCAGGTATCGATGGGCACACGTGAGGCACTGAGACGGTTGAACGGGCGAAGCTTGTTAAGGCTGATTTTTATATGATTGTCCCAATAAATCATGAGAAATCTCCATTTATAGATGATTTTCCCACCTAGAAACTCTAGAAACCTCCATTATTAGGTGATCCCAGCTACAAACTTCCGTGTCGTTGGAAATTTCCCATTATGATAGTTGATTCCCGGAAGGTAAATATGGTCGTTTCATCCCTGTTTTAAGTTGGTCTCCAATTGGTTCAAGATTCCAAAGCAGACCCTTATGCCTAGGGGTAAAAACCAGGGTTTCCTGTAACTGTAAAGTTTCCCTTAAACGCATCCACTGACATTCTTGCTATCCCACATTTGCTTAACACAGACCCACATATCATCCAAATATCGTATTGTTGCGGATACATGCGGATACTGTATCCCATGACGCCTCCATGATATCCGGGAATTTTGCTGGGTTTTCCAAGGACACCTGCGGCGAGACCAGCTTTGGTGTCCAAATTTCAAGAGGAGTCATTGCCAGCTGGAAGTTTGGTGTTTGAAGTACTATGGGATCCACCTGAACTCATGGAAATTTCCATGGATTTCGCCAGTAAATCAAGGTGATTTTATCCGATTTGCTTGGATTCGATTGGATTTTGGGTTTCTGCAATTCTTGGAGATCTCTTTGTTGGCGGTGAAAGGAGACGGGGAATACGTGACGGTGATCCAGTCGCAAGTATCATCTCAGAAAACCATAGAAAACCAACATTGGACCAATGGAGATGCGACCAAGAAATTAATGAAAGCTTGGTGAAAGGTGGCTAGGCGAACGAACAGTTAGAAACCAACAGTTGTAAGAATTGACAAGACGTTAAAAAACACATCTAATTTTTTAACAGCTAGAAGCCAGTGCCAGGGCATTTGGGTATTTCATTTGCATTTGGTGCTTTCACTGTGGCCCTGGCATGCCAAAAGCTCCTATTATTACGGTGCTACTTAAGGCCATCAGGAAGTTATCAGCCGTATGGAAAGTTCCAGCCGAGATGCCCTTGCAAATGCCTGGGTCTTCATTTCAAGTGGTGCAAGTATTTAATGCCATCAGAGGTTATCAGCCGTATGGAAAGTCCTAGCCAAGATGCCCTTGCAAGCCTTGCCATCAAGGTGCAGTTATCATTTTTTTTACTCAGGTTGACTACTACCATTTAGACATTAAATATCTTGAGCCTATAGGAACATTATATATTATATATTATATATTATATATTATATATTAGTTCTGCCTCATGATTTCTGTCACCTGTCACCTGTCATATAGCCTCGTGATTTCAATCTCTGTCACCTGTCAAGTATCCGTTCCCTGTCCCCTGAGCTGTCAGTTTCCCGTAGACGATTTTTTTCGTTTTCGCAGAAAACTGTGACAGAAGACTGTGACACCCAAGGTTTGCACCTGAGAACAAGCAAGGCGCAAAAAATTCCACTAGACAGAAGACAGTTGGCTGAGAAGAAGACTGTCAGATGTAGCCCGAAACCTGCGCAAGAAAATGGTTCATCATCGAAGGAACAAAAAACAACATGACACTAGGAGCTGTGAGGTTTACAGCAACTTTATTTCCAACTAGGAGCTCCAAGAAAATGCTGCTGCAGCTTTACACTTTGTTTCCAGCAACTCACTGCAAGTCTTGCTCCACTTCAATGCCATTCTGTCGCATGACGACACATTCTGCATCATCTTCGACATCTGCTGCATCATGATGTGAACCATCTGTTTGAACAATGCGGATTGGTCGCGGAGCGGTCTGCCGAAAAGGGTTCAGGTTGACAGGGACAGGTGACTGTGACTGATATGCACTTTGCTGCAAAAATGAATACTGCGCTGGATGCGGTTCTCGTCTCAATGTCCCAGTGATCCATCCAGTCAAGAAGGCGTGGGCCTTCTGGCTGATAGCTTGCCTCAGTCAACTGTCAGTTCTCTCTAAAAAAATCTGTCAACTGTCAACTGTCAGTTATTCTTTTTGTGACAAAGAAAAAAAACAAGACAAAACAAGTTCAAGATGCTTTGCAAATGCAGCATCTGCCTTCACTTTCACTTCATTGCGAATCTTCCAAGCTACATGCCTCCGAGGGTGCTCTCCAGAAGGCTGCCATGTGAGCCGTGAAATAAGCCCTGGCAAGGACTCTGCTCGGATTGCCACCTCTGCTTGAAAGGGCTTTGGTGAAGACTCAAACATATGACATAACAGCAGAATGTCTTCTGGATGGCCTGGGGCAAATTCATATTGAAGGCTGTCTAAGTCTTTCATTGACAGCATTTTTCGCTTCAAGATCCTGAAGAGGTGTGGAGCCTTGGGGCCTGTCAGGCCAGTCAGGGTGACTGGTATCTCTTCCAGCCACTTGTCCCACTCTGGGCTTGAATCGTGCTTCCATGCTTTCCGGAAGTAGCAAGATGTTTCCAATGAAGCATCATCCAAAAAACGTTGATACACCTCGACCAATTCCTGGGCCGTCTCAAAAGTTTCATGACTGCATCTTGTCACTGCCTGGCCACCCACTGCGTCCAAGCATGTGTGGGTGTGCCCTTTTATCGGAAAACCGATATTGCAAGTGTCAATGACACCCAGTGCAGTCAATTTCAACCAGAAGCGAAGCATCTTTGAGTTTTTGTTGTCCCGAGCGGTGTTGTCTAATAACAGAAATACCTGTCGGGGTATCCCTGTGATGTCATGCACCCACGACAAACACCTCGCCAGTGCATCCACATGGTTGCAGGTGTCTTTGCAAACATCGGGGTCTCCCACTGACAGGCTGAAGCCATGACCATGAACCCAAATAAGTTGTACATGGCAAGCTGGGCGAATAAGTTCATCAAATGTTTTGGACTTGACATGAGCCCTGGGAACTTTATGTTTGGCTTGGTCCAAGCCGTCTGACCTGATGACAAGGACAGATGACGGATGACTTCGAACATTGGATGAGACACTCAATGCTCTTGTTTCAAAAGCCAATGCTGTCCATGCACTGTCAGCAGCTCTGTCACGCCAGTTCTGCAAGAGGTGCTCCGCGTATTCCTGGATGAGTCTGTTCCGCAAATGAAGGGCCTTCACCCTTTTCAGCTCACGTTTGAACCAAGCGCATTGGTCACAAACTGCATGTTGCCCTGAGGATTTTCGAAAAGCCAAAAACTGTTTGGATCCTTGAAGCGCACGTCGGAAAGTGGTAAAAGATGGTGCTTTCTTTCCGGCATAATTCTCCTTGTGCCACCGTAACATCATCTCAAACAAGATCTGGGGCTTCACCACGCCAAGCCATCTGCGCGGGGCTGCTCCAGCTCCTGGGCCTGTCAGTGAATTGTTGAAAGGGGTGTCTGTGAGTAGCTGCCTGAGAGACAAAGTTGCCAGCTTCCGTGCATCCTGCTCATCCCATTGAGCCTGTGACATGCTTGAAGCTGAATCCGAAGATCCATAAACTTGGCCGAAGATCCACTCTTCTCGCTCAGCTGTTTCAATGAGATTCTCTTTGTCTTCGTGGGCTGCTGCTTGATCAGTCGCCAACGCAGCCACGTCTGGAAGCATGGTGACATTCCAAGCCATAGGCCATTGCTTGATGCACATCTTGATCTGTCCGTCAAGGGCCTAGATTCAAATAACTCAGAGATTCTACAAGTCCAATGGATACAAAGAACAAACCTTGATGCGAGCAAGTGGCATCACCTTTGAGCACTGCATCCTTGACATTCTCAAAGTCAGTGGACTTCAGGTCAGCGGAGCAGCAGTCTGCAATGCCACGGGTCCATGATGTAACAACAAAGCAGTAGGTCCACAACTGATCAACAGTGACCTTGGAAGATCCATCGTGGTTGGAAAGGGTGTCCTCCTGGATGCTAATGATCTTGTCCATGATCAGGTTGTGATCTTCTGGTGATAATTCTCCACCAAACTCCAACTGCTTTGACCTTGGATGATTTTGGAATGAACAACAATATATGAAAGTGAATAATCACTACCAACAAATGAATAAATAAACGCTATATATATATATTAAATATAAATATTTAAAAATGTATATATATATAAACACATGTATATACATATACATATATATATACATATTTATATATATATACATATTATATATATATACACTATATTAGATATACATATATAAAACTATTTTTTGAGTAAAAGCACATCAGCCGGGGGGGGCACCAACTTGGCGGCAGCAGCGGCGCCTGCTCTGCGAGCATACTCTTCCGCTTCGGATGGGAACATTCCATCAGCTGGCATTGATGTTGGCCACAAATGTTTCCAGGACAATACAGACTCATTGACAGATGACTCCGAGAAGAATGACAGATGACACTGCAAAGCACGATAGCTTTCGAACGTGCAGTAATTCAACATATGCTTGATTGCCGTCTGCTTTGCGGTGCCGATCTTGATCTCACGATCCTTCACAGCCAACTCTGGGTTTGAGTCTTGCTTTCCACTGTCCTGTGTCCTCTTGACACGTCGTCTCTTCACGGCCTTTGAAAACTTGAAGCTGAAAACTTGAAGCTGAAAACTTGAAGACTGATAGTAATTTTCCTTTTGGTTTGGGATTTTTACTGGTGACTTTTTGTCCTGTTTTTGGAACCCTTTTTGGGCACAAAAAGTCGCCCTTCTTAACCCCTTTCGCGCAGCCAAACCAAATTACAAAAAACTGAGATGACTTTTCTGAAAAAACAAGAAGAAAGTAAAGCAGCTGAATGCTCTTCAAGGCACCTGTTTCTGTCCAACTACAATGCCCTCAGCATTCACCTTGCTGTCGAAGCCACACAGCAAGCTCTCGAAAGTTTTTACCAACCGCTTGCCAACCTCCTTTCTGGCCAAACGGTTCTCAAAACTCAGCAGCTGCTGGACATCCCCATCAGGGTATGCAGCGACAAGCACCAAGTCACACCATTGAATGCAGCTCAGAGGTTTGATCATACTGCCTTTGACATTCTGGCGGAATGCCTGCTGAATCAAAGAATCATTGGTGGATGCCGTGCCTTCCCATAGGGTGGGAACCTTCAAGAGGGTCTTGAAAATCTGCAAGGCTGTGTGATCCGTGCCCAGCTTTCCCTGCTCAATTTCAGATCTCATCAGACACCACCTCAGGTCAAAGTGACATTACAACAAACATACATGAAGCCTAGTGGCACAAGTTTGCAAGCCAATGCTCGTTTGACTCCATCACCAAGCCGACAAGATCCCAATTCTCCAAGGCTGGATGGCAAATCCCTTGAGACAATGGTTTCTTCTGCCCTGAACCCTGAAGTGATGATTGAGTTGGCGGTGCCGATGATGTTGGCTGCTTCACAGCTTGAGCCACTCCTGATTGCTAGATGCACACAATACTGTCATATTGTCATCTGTCATATTGTCAAAACTTCACACTGACATATTGTCATCTGTCCATGACTGTCTGAAGATTATCTGCAGCTGGGAAGCCATAAGGATGATGCGTCCCATCGAAACATGTGCGGCATGGAACTAGACACCATGCCCTCC